CACAGAAGGGATTTTGTTCGGGGCAAACTCAGGTCCTGAGGTTTTGAGACTGGCTGATTTTAGGTACCCCATTCTGGATGAAAGCACTGCGTTAAGTTCTTAGCTACCAGTTAGGTGCAAAAATACTGTTGCGGATGCTGGTTAGGTGCCTCTTCTGACATGGCCTAACATCTCCCCAGTATTTGTTATTTCATCTTCTTCATTGCTGCAGAAGATACTTTAATTCTATGTTTGCTTTTGTATTTTTTATTTTCATACATGTAAAATATTCTCAATTACATTGCAGAAAAGATGACTAAAGAAATAGACACTGAATTTCCATATTGCAACTCAGCATTCAATGCTAAGACCAAGGCTTCTAACAAGGTTCAGTATGCCTTGCTGCAGTGTGTGCGGGCTGTAATAAATGGCAGAATTGGTCCCACATTTTCAAAATTTCCTAGTAACTAAGAGTTCCTAGTTTCCTTGTTTTTCAAGGACACACCATGCAGACCATCTCCTTTCCTTTACAGACTCATCTGGTATATGTTTTACTAACAATAACCAAATAAAAATAGCAGTTGTGGACAGTGGAACAAGCCTATATAAGAGTGAAATGATCCTTATTTTAGAGTAAGGTGCCTTTTCCAATATTCTTTATTGTATCATTTTACATTCTGTGGACTATAAAATAAATAGGTGAAAAATTCTCAAGCAGTGAATGGGTAGTATATGTTCAGGATTTTTGTTGTTCTGTTAAGACCCTGATCAATCTTTTATAAGGGTGAAACATTACAAGAGAGGTGCAAAGAGATGTTCACAGGAGATACTTACTGGTTATCACACTAACGAGTAGTTAGTGATCTATATGTTTTTGTTTTGTTTTCTTTTGTTTTGTTTGTTTGTTTGTTTGTTTTCCATGTTATATACACCTATAATTCCATAATTGTAAGACTTAAAAATGTTCCTTGAGATACCCATATGTGAGTAAACATTATGTGCTTAGTCATGCTTCTTTTGAACACTGATCCTACCTTTCAGAGCATACAGCTGTAAGATAATCTTCATGCTATTCTAAAAGAAAAATAACAACTTTCTGTAAAATTAATATTAATATATTAATATTAATGTGTATATTAATTAACTGTTGTATACACAACAGTGTATATTAATACACTGTTGAAGCTTTATTCCCAGTATGAATAAATTATGGACCTAACTACAAAGACACTCAACTTTTGGGTAATCTAGTTTTACTAACACTGTCTACCTTTTCCAAATGTATTAGATAACCGGCAAGCTATCTAAATGATTTTTTTTTTTAATTTCTTCAGAAATTCTACAACTAAGGATGACCACAGAAGTCTACAATAGCAATCAAAAGATTAGACATGTTCTGTGTCTCACAATAGCTACAAAAATCAGTAACTACTCTGGCAAGATCAAACACAGTAACGGTGAAACTTGTATATTGTGAAGCTCCCTTCACTGCTTCCAGAGTGGTTTCTTTTTTTCCTTGCAAAAGCCTAGAAGAAGCAGAAGTTGTGTGTTGCCAAATGAGTAGTGATAAATCATAATATAAGAAATGTGCAACAGTCTGAAGTCCTGGATTTTGCCTGAAAAGTAAAATGCACTATCTTCTCTTCCTTATGTATCTCCACTCTTCAGCCTTGGTAACAATAATCATCTCAAGGTTAAATTATGATTTCAAAACCTGCAAATAATCTAGGAACATAGTATTTCTTCTGAAAATTGTTGTCCCATAGTTTTCTTCAGTAATGAAGAGTATTTTTTTGTTCTTTGTAAAAAGAGTAGTTATTTTGAGATATCTATCTCAATGCAGTACTATTAGAGATAAGAGTACTTTTGAATTCCAAGTGTGCCAAAATTATTAATCCATCTCATTGCATGAATCAGACAATCACATAATGGTTGAGGCTGGAAGGGATGCCTGGAGGGTCATCTGGTCCAACCCCTTGTTCAGAGCAGGGCCACCCAGAGCAGGGTGCCCAGGCCGTGTCCCAGGGCAGCTTCTGAAGATCTCCAAGGTGATCTTCAGCCTCACTGGGCAACCTGTGCCATTGCTCCATCACCCACACATAAAGCAGTGCTGCCTGATGTTCAGAGGGAGCCTCCTGGGGGCCGGTTTGTGCCCATGGCCTCTTGTCCTGGCACTGGACACCACTGAACAGAGCCTGGCTCTGTCCTCTTTGCTCCATCCCTTCAGGTATTTACAGGACATTTATGAGATCCCCTTGACCTCCTCTCCTCCAGGCTGAGCAGTCCTCTCAGCCTCCCCTCATAGGAGAGGTGTTTCCTTCTTCATCTCTGTGGCCCTTTGCTGGACCCTCCCCCGTATGTCCAGGTCTTTCTTGTACTGGGAGGCCCAGAACTTGACCCAGCACAGCAGGTGTGGCCCTCACCAGCACTGGGCTTAGGGGAAGGATCACTTCTCTCAACCTGCTGGCAACACTCCTCCCAGCACAGCCCAGGATGCCATTAGTCTTCTTTATGGGGCACTTTGTTTTCACCTGGTCCACTTTTACTAAGGTAAAAAGCATTTACATCTTCCCTTCTCTAAGATTATACTGAGGATGTAAGGTGAGGTAAGGCAAACACTTCCACCCCCCACTGCCCTTTATTTTCTCTTCAAAAACATAGGTGTTGAACATACTAAACACACAGAAAGCACAAGGAAGTGATGAGGACACACAGAGAAATGGATTTTTTGGTTGTGTCCTCAATTTTTCCAACTTTTTTGTTTGTTTGTTTGTTTTGATATGGTACAAGGTGTTAAAATAGAAAAACAGCGGTTATTTTAGGAGAAAATATAAGCCTGTATCAGTTCCAAGGCACCCTTTTCCTACTTCCCCATCTTAATTTTGTGCTCCTACTCTAAAATGAGGGAGAAGTACAGAAGGCTGAGAATACTTCTCATGAGGGAAACCCAGATTTAATTAAGTCTTATAGGAGCCGTAGTCTCTAGTCAAATTTGAGTGAAATAGCTTCTCACATCATTATACCGCTGTGCAAGAATTTGCAGGGGTCGATTTTAATGACCAGGACTGACAGACAGCAGCCGTGGGGGACTGCTCAGGACCAGGCTGGCGAACGGATAATTGACACGGGGATGAATTACACGGGCGAGGATCATCTTTATTCTCCCAGGCAGCGGTTCCCGAGGATTTCTGGACGGGAGCGGGCTGGGGGGCACCCAGCGGGGGGTCCGTTAAGCCGGCCTAGAGCCAAGGCCTAGAACCGAGGCTCCCCGCTGTCGCTCCGTTACCGAGGAACCGGCCCCAACAGACGCCGCGGCCGGGGCGGCGGCGGGCGGCTGCTTGCCTTCCTCCTGCCCGCCCGGAGCCGTGAGTATCCTTTTTTAATTCCAGACCATGCCCTCTTGTCCTATCATTAGCTACCCAAGTAAAGAGTCCCTCTCCATCCTTTCTGTAAGACCCCTTTAAGTATTGATGGCCACAATGAGGTCTCCCCAGAGCCTTCTCCAGGCTGAGCACCCCAAGCTCTCTCAGCCTTTCGCCATAGGAGAGGTGCTCCAACCCTCTAAGCATCTTCATGCTCCTCCTCCGGACCCGCTCTAACAGCCCCACATCCTCCTTGTGCTGGGGGCCTCAGACCTGGACGCAGCACTCCAGGTGGGGCCCTCACAAGGGCAGAGCAGAGAATGGAGTCCCATTGTTCACTCCTTAGTAACATTTGAGTAGACTTTGAAAAAAAATAATAGTTGAAGTAGATTTTGAAAAAAAAATAATTTTGAAAACCTTACAGAAAGTAGGGGTGGCTGTTACTACAATGATGCTAACTGGTCTCTAATTTCTGTTGGTCTTGCTATTTCTTTGGGAAATAGTTAATGAGGAATGGGGGATTTTGTGACAGGTTTAGTGGACTTGCCTTAGCTTTCAAGGTTGTGAAATTTTGGTCACACTCCAGTGGTGGGAGCCTAGGTGAATATATTGAAGAAATATATATCAGAAATATTATAAAGTACTGTAGTCTTGGCTGTTGTGCTTCAGCACAATATACTCCAAGCAGCAATTATTTCTTGTAAGCTTTTCCGTATTGGTCATATTGAGATGTATTTTGGAAGTTGAGAAGCTGATCATGATCCCAAATGAAAAGCCAGAATCTATTTGTTTCGGGTATAGGTCTAATCTTGTTCTTTCATGTTGTTTTGCTTGGAAAATTGAATACATTTGCTAACACAACGAAATGCATTTTGAATATGCTTCCAGGAATTTAGGTGTTTGGAGGTGTTTGGTCTGCAGTCCTTTAAGATTGCTCCTTATGGAGTTGCAACCCGGTTATCTTGTTAGTGAGATAGTACCATTATTAAATAAAGAAATCATTTGATTACAAAATTGATACATGTGTTTCTTAAGTTTTCCTCCCTACTGAGGGGCTTTATTTATTTTTATTTATTTATTTTTTTTTTAATGTTCTCATCTTTTCTCACATATTGCCTATGTGAGGTAATAGACATTGGAGTTTTCTGCTGGTAAAGTATCTGACTCTAAGAATCTATGTTTATGATGTAGATGTGATGGTCTGCATTTTACCTAGCTGTTTTGTAAGGAGCTTTTGGAAGGAGTTCAGTAAAAAGAGGGCATGGTAGCAGTAATGACAACTAGACAACTGTCTCATGTTTCATAACTTACATAAAGGACAAGTAGGTCAGAAACTGTCAAGATGGAAGACAGAATTAGGGAACGTTTCCCCTATTGAGGGGTGATGTGAGATTGCTTATTTCAATTTGGACATGAAATTGAGAACTTTTCTATTCCTCTTTTGGTACTTGTTGCAGTTTTGGATGAAATTACCATTTGGAAGATTGTTATCCACACTAATTTCCAAAGTTAATACTGCAATAGCTGCCCATGGATACTTTGTATCATGTCTTCAGATCCCATAGAAATTATAGTGAAATCAATCTAAATGACAATGAATTATTCCTAATATTTGTAAGATGCTTACTGAAGCACTACACTTGATGTTAAAAGAGAGACTGGAGTAAGAATAGAAATTGAATGGTTAAATGTTCGTTATTTGTAAAATGATAAAAATCTCATAATAGAGAGAAGCCTGCCATTCCAGCTTTCTGTGGGATTCCTGATTTTGCATACTGTTTTGATCTTTATAGTAGTTGCAGCAGGAAGCTATTGAGATTAGGCAGTATGTAGGAAAAAAAAAATTATCTGCTTTTGAATTCTGTATCTCAAAGCTGGATATTAGACAATTTGCAGAGTAATTATAGTTTTCTGCATCTTTTTCCTTCACAGTATAAGCAAGAAACAACTTAATAATGAATACTGAGAAAATTTGGATCACTCAGACTCTTCTTATTTAACCTCCAATGACTTGGCTATACCCAAAACCTGTGCGGTGAACTTTGGTGAGGTATATATAGTGCATACTGTAATTTTCTTAGTACTGTGCTAGCTACGTACTTGAAAAAGGGCTTTGTTCATTCCTCCTATGAAGGAGAATAAAAGCAAGGATTATGCTAGTCTGTGCATGTGAATAAGAAATAAATCTCTCTGCCTAGCAAAAAGTGGGTGTTTACATGAAATTGCACATTTACATTACATGATCTGTGTATATTGTGTTAACTTTTATGTACTTGAGAACAATTCTGTGAGCGACAGAATGAATAAATATAGCCCCAACCCCCCCCTCCTGCATTCTTGTTGTTCAAATATGTAATAAAGCCTCATTAAATGTTGCTTTTTTTTTGTTTGTTTTGTTTTATTATTTTTTTCTTCATTATACTGAGTGATTTTAGCTTTGTCTGAGAATTAAGTTGAATTACTGAACAAAAACTGCTCGAAGCTAATAGTCACATTTCCTAAATTAAAAGATTTATGGTTCAGGATATCTCACTCTTGGAAGGTACACAGTAAGGAAGCATTGACTTGAGCAAGCAGCACTTCCAGTCAGCCTGGGGGTATTGATGATTTCTTAACTATCATCAAACTTTTATTTTTTTTACACAAAACTTTGACTTGGAGTTGTCAACTTCTAAGGGTGTATTTCAGGACAAGTACAAGAAATGTGGCTGCATTGCATTGCATAGGTTAGTCTTTAATGTTGAATGCTTATAAAAAGGTAGTCTGAAAATGTATAATTAAAATCTCTCTCTTAATTTTCTTTCTTAACAAGATTTTCTATTACTTTTCCATTTTATTTATTTATTTTTTTTTAACAAGAGAGCATCAAGAATTAATTAGCTGCTAACATCTCAGCAGTGCCACAAAATGCGTCTTGCACCAACTGAACAAAAGAATGTGTTTATAGTTACTCAGCTCTTGAATTGGAGTTTGGCAAGATCTTCTCTTCAAACTAGAAAACACACAGATGCAATTTCATATTATTTAGTAGTGTGTTGTGTTCCTTTTTTAAAATTTTAAATAGACTGTATGAACCTGCCAAATTTTCAACTAATTTTGTTTCTTTAATCTTTGTGACTAAACTATTTATATAATATACATAGTGGCTAAAATTACTACTTAGCCAGGAGCTCCTCTGAAACATAAAATGATAAAGTGCATACAACCTAGTGGGAAATCAAATAAAGATGGATCACTGTTTTAGAATGTTTATTTCTCCCCATTTATTTGCTTATTTATTTATTATTTGAAACAGCATGGTATTGTCATATGAGGCACAAGCCATGTCTAACTCATGTCCCTGAGGAAGAATGGAGACACTCTGAGTAATAGGGACAGCAAGGGCTTGCCACATGATTCTTGCACAATGTGGACACAGTTCCTCCCTGGGAAGAGCTGCAAGTACTGTAGGACAGGATGATCTACAGTTTGAAATGATCTGGAGAAGTCAGAGAATAGGGTGTAGATAAATAAGAACAAGTACAAAGTAGTATGCGAAGTAGAAATTATGTGTACAAAGAGAAGAAAATGCTAGGTAAGGTAGTGAAAGATCCTTAACTTACAGTGCTAAACACGAAAAACAGCATCATGCTGTAGTGACAGAACCAAGGGTTGTATCAGGATACAAAGCCAAAAGCATTGTGTAATGCATCCATTCTTCTTAGCACTGATGAGGTATCAGCTGGAAGGCTGTGTCCTCTTTAGGATGCGTCCGGGAAGACCTGGACCAGCTGCAGAGAATGTGGGGGAAGATAGTGGAAAAACAATAATAACCTTGGGGGCATGGAGGATTGGAAGAATTTGGTCTGTTTAATGTAGAGAAAGGAAGAGAGAGCAGTTCTCAAATATTTAAGAAATTGTTTACAAGATGAAGGTAATCCATTATTTTCTATGTTCATAGAGGTATGACAGATTACATTATACATTAGGAGAGCTGACTAACAGTTTGCCATGATGGCTGAGTTTGGTTTAAGTTTGCCTGCGTATTTGGTAGAAACTGTCTCTAAAAGATTTTAAAGTGGGTTTGACAAGCATTTGTCAGAAATGGTTTGGATTCAGTTGAAACTGCTGTGGATCTTTCAATTCATCTAGGCATTATTTTGAAAATGGCATCTGTTTTCACGCTCTGCTATGCTCCTGTCATTATTAGAGAGGAAATAAAGTTTCTGCTTAGTTTTACGCCTTATGTTCTGCTGAGGAACTTGGTAACTGCTTAATTAAATACACAATTTCTTTTTTTGCTTTACAGATCCTCTGTCCTTTTTTGCTTTTATCGTCCCATCCCAGTTTTAGCAGCATGTCTTTGTCAGCCTCTTTTCCTTTCAGATTTCTCATTTATTCTGTGTTATCTTTGGATCTTTTTAACGGTTACCTTTCCATACTGTGTAATGTGTTTTCCAGCTTTGCCTTGCAAACACCTTCGTTCCCATGAATGCCTTATCTCTCCCACTTTACTTCAGTATGCCAGCATCCTTGTACTTTGTTCTTTTTTTGTCTTTTTCTTCCTGTCATTCTTATCTTGTTTGGTTTTTTTTTCTTTCTTTCTTTTTATTTTTTTTCCTTTTTTTTTCTTTCTTTAGCATATACAAGATGATGTCTCTTTTTCTTTGTCCTATATCTACATTACTTCTAAAATATCAATTTTTAAGATCCTTACAAAATACAGTTTGATGGAAAGACTATGGAAGAAGAGAATACAGTCACTTTAGGTAGCCTCCACTTAAAGAGTGGGTTTTGGTATATCTAAGGAAACAAGGTCACTGTATATGGTCTGTCACTGTATATGGTCTGTCAGTGCCTGTCCTCCAGAAGCTTTTGAACATACTGTCCAATTTCATCCAGATTTGACAGATAGGTGGGAGTCTCAAAGTTCTTCCAAGTTTCATGAAAATTGGCAGCAGAGCAGGAGGAAGAAAGACCCAAATTATTCCCTCAACTGTAAGAAAGGAGTTACAAATTAGCCCTTTACATATTCTGTAGGGTAGCGGTCAACTGAATAATCCACTGTGCTTTTGGTTAGCAAGCACATGTCTGTAAAGCTCCCATCCAGTGTGCACACCCAGAAGGGAATACCAAGGGAAGCTGTGCTGGTCAGGCTCTGTGTCGCTGGGAGGAACTGGCTTTCTTTGAGGGAATGTTGCACAAAATTCCAGGGGAAACCAGGCTCTATTATTGAGTCTAATGGTTATGGGAACTGCTGGCTTTTCTGAGCTGTAAAATATTTTTAGTGGCTTTTTTCTGTTCTTTGCAACATCAGAGAGCCCATTAGGTATTAAATAGTAACCATTTCTAAATACTAAAATGATCTTTCATTCATCTCTTATCCTTTTTTTTTTTTTTTTTTTTTTTTTTTGAGAACCTATTATATCCTTCTAAATTTGACTGGATCAGTTCCATCAATCCCTTGACCCACTAATCTTTTAATGATCTTTTAAGATACCAGGGAGGTCTGAGGAGGCAAAGTAGACCAAAGCTATATTGTTCGTAGTTCATGCTAGGAGCATGACAGCACGTGCTAAAGAAATTCTTGGACTTTTTCCTTGGGTCCCTTTGTTGCAGCGCTGATAACTACAGATTCTTGTGCAGTTTAACAGATTGAGAAAATGCTTTAAGTCACCAAGAATTAAAGTTTTTGACTAGAGATGATGTCTGTGTTTGTTTTTAAGCAAGATCTATTTGCCTGTTTATCTGTTCGGTATTGCCAAACTCTCTGAAATTCCAATATTTGTATTTCTGAACATTGAAATGAAAGGTATTGATGGCAATGAACTTGGTAAGTATAAGGCAGCTCTGAAACAGCCAGTACAGAAGTTACTGAGCAAACAAAGCTAGGAATCGGAAAGAACAGAGGAGTTCTAGTGTTGAAGTAAAAACATACAACTGTACTGTTCATCTGACTGGCAAGGTTGTGGTTTGTTTTTTTTTTGTTTGTTTTTTGTTTGTTTGTTTGTTTTTTTTTGGTTTTTGTTTGTTTGTTTGTTTGTTTTTAGATGCTTATGATTCATTCATTCGGAGAGCTGATAAAGAAGTAAAGAGGAGTTTGTAGCTAATTCACTGGCTAGTTGAATTGAGTTAAGTTGTTCCTGCTGAATGCGTTTTTAATGCTGTTGAGACAATTAGTCTGTTGTAAGACTAAGTGTCAGCATGCCTAGAGCACTTTTTCCTTTTCTACTATTTCCTGAAACTAAAGAAACAAGCAAATTCATCCTTATTCAATGTGAACCTCATTGCGAGTGAAAAGAAATAAAATAAGTTTGTCACAGGCTGTTTCTTTTTGTTGTTTGTTTGTTTTTTTTCTGAAATTTCTCTAGCCATTTCTGGATGTTTGACTATTTATGTATTATTATAAAATAGTATTTTGAATCTAATAGCAACAACAGAACTGGCTTAATTATAAGTAAGTAAAAAGATAAGCAGTACTTAATGGTTTGATAAAATGCAAGATCTGTAAATATTTGATCAATTCTTTTTGTTGTTCCTTCATTACTCTATTTTTAAAAAAATGAAATTCAAAAATGTCTACATATCTAATGCTCAGAATAGGAGATGTGATTTGTATGAACATATGCGGCAATTATGCCAAAACTAAATTTCTTCAGTTCTGTGGTTACTATGGTAACCAATATTCACTGTATTTCATTTAGACGTATACAACAGAAGAAAATGCTAGGTTTAAGGTTTAATAATCTTTTCAAAAATATTGTGCTATAGTACGTGATATTTTAATTATGGATATGGGGATGGATCAAATAACTAACACGCTTAGTAGCATGAACATGGGTAGTAATCATCTTTAAAACATATTTGGATGATTTTTCTGGTAATGGAATTTCGGATGCTTATTTCTAACAATTGAATTGAATTAGTTTTTTGCTTGAGCAGAGAGATTGTTCCTACAACTGTCAGGTCTCTTTGACCTTCCAGGAATAAGGAAGAGATTAATAATTCTGTTGTTTCATTTCTGGCCTTAGAATGTGTGAGGAGGAACATTGAAATAACAAATTAGGTAGTGCCTTTAGTCAAAGGTAGTTGCATTTTGTGAGAATCCATGTCACAGAATGTGAGAAGCTCTTAAGGCATTTATTTTCTCAATGCTGCTTGATAGGAGAGTAATTCCTCTTTTCTGATTCATGTCACAGAGGTGGAACTCGAGAATATATAATGACAAAGTGCATCATTCAAGACTGTGGCACAAAGCACATGGATTTAATACCCTTACCTCTTAGAGATTTCCAGTTGTTTTTCAACTTGTTTAATTGTCTGGTTTTTATTTTAGAGTTCATATTTACACTAAGGCCTTTTATTCCAAAAGAATAGGAATTAAGCTCATTTCCGTTGTAGACTATATAGCTGCAGTGAACCCTAAGAATAGTGGAATACTGGACTAAAATTCAAATTGATTTTGATACAGAACTATCAAAAGTATTTGGATATTTATATGATAGTGGTAAGATCTCAGATACAGAATATATAGTTGTGGACAACAGTAGAAGTTTGTGAGAGTACTTTATTGATTTTATGTCCCTTCTTAAAACATGTAGTGGCTAGTATGAGGGACAATTTCTTTTACAGAGATTTTTTTCTGTGAAAGAAATAATTCTGATTTTTGTTATTCCCTTTGTTAGTATTGTTGGTTTATATTAGACTGCCTACAAGATTGTACATGAAGTCTTGTTTTCAAGAGTGAGACTTTGGTATCACTATAAAACATTTTAATGTTGCAAACTACTATTTAAAAAACACTGTGTACTATTTTGAAATACCACACTAAATGTAGCTTGAGGGAATAATCCTAGGGATATTAATCGTTTCTTGCATATTGTGAAGTAAACCTGGGCTACATTTCAGTGATTAAAATGATTCACTGCATCGCTTGAGGACAAGCAGAAATTGTGCAAGAGGTCCTAGCACCCTAACACCAAATGATAAAATGCTGTATTTGCAGAAAGCAAGCACTTGGAGGTCAGGAAATAATAGGATAAAATGAAGATTGTTCACGGAGTGTTAGCTCCTTTAAACTATGTGTTAGTTCATAATTTTTATTTATGCTAACTGCATTTGGGGAAAGGAGAAAAAATTCCAACACAAATGGCATGCCCACAGTGAAACAGGAATCAGCAAAAACACTTCTAACAAATTTCTCCTGTAATTTGGCCATACCTGTTAGTCTTATGAGATAGATAATTTCAATTTGCACATAGTTTGCTTAATGATGAATGAGAGTTTTGGTGAAGAGGTAAGTATCGGAGTTGATGAGAGAAAGGTTCATATGGAATAGGCTATTTATGGAGTGTATTTATGAATATCCCCAGACTCTTCCTGGGGAATGGTTTTTATGATGAGAAATAGTAGTATTAATTTATGTTACATAGACAGTAATTCTAACGTCTGGAGTCTAATCTCTTTCATAGAAATACATTTGTTAAGAGTTTTACTTTTAACAGAGTTGTTAGTTCCTCATCTTTCTATTTGAGATGTTGTCATTAAACATTTGTTTTTAGCAGCTGACCAATTATTTCTATTAAAGTACCTAGAAAATAATTTAAGTGTTGTATTTTTAATTTAGCTTTAGTCATATTTAATAATATATCTGACATATATTTTTAATAAGTTTATATACATACCTGATGAAACATTCACAATGCTTTTTTTTTTTTCTTACTCCTTTATGAAGTAGCATACAATGGCTTTTGAAAGGTATGCTCTAGCCGTGTGGCTTAACATAGTGGTTATCTTTGGCAGAGTGAGAAAGTCAGTTTGAATGCTGTAAAATTATTTGTGCAGAATAACACTTCCTGGAGGTTGGAGATACATATTACAGAATTACAGTGCTAACTCACTAGATTTGGCTTACTAGTCTAGGTAGGATAGTATTAAAGAAATTTGTTCATCTGTATATTTATAACTACAGCTATGAACATAAGTAGTATTTATATACATGTATATGGAAGCTAAGATTTTCAAAAGATACTGAGTGAACTAAGTGCTGACTATTTTTTTTCCAAGCCTCAGACAGATACAAGACTTTTGTCATCAAGTCTGGATTTGTCCAATATAGTTTGAGCAGGTTGTCATGCACGGTGAAATGAGTTTTTTGTATTCTGTGTAATGTGAACGATTCTGCATCAGGCAAATGATGTTCACACCTTGTTCCTAACAAGGTGTATATCAGATTGTATAGTAGGTGTCTATAACTTGTATATCAGATAATAGTCTGTTTTGTACCTCCTTCCTGATGCATTGCTGGCTTTATAAGAAATGATGAACTGGAACTGTTTCTTAAGGGTTTTTTTTTTTTTTTTTTTTTTCTTCTGGATTTCATCCTTTTGTATATATGTTTTTTCTTCTCTTTTCTTCTTGCTCTAAAGCCATTCTGCCTGTAGATATTTATTTTCATTGACTTTCTGAGAGTTAAGAATCTTTTGTATTCCTTGTTGGAGCTAGTGTGGCTAAGAGGCTAAGGTATTGCTTTGCTGAGTCCAAGAAGCTGACATACTATCACACGTTGAGTTAAAAGTTCTTGCTTGCCAAGTTGGCATATTTCTTTAAGCAATGTTGAGACCCACCAATAATTGTTTCAGGCAATAATTGTTTCAGGAAATGGAAAAAGCTACCGTTTTGTATGCAAAATAGATTGTTTTGTTCTATGTTATCTATCCGTTGAGTGGGCAGTGGTTCAGTTGACAGGTTTATGGACTTCCACTGACAGTTTTGTAATGAAAATTCATCTCATAGGTTATCCACTCTACACATCTGTCCAGTTAGGGCTAATTTCTAGTGTTGTGGGATTCAAAAAAAATCGTGTAATTTAAAATGCTGGGACACATGGGTTGAAATCTGCCTGTCTCATTCCTATTTATTTACGTGTATTTATTTATTTTATTACAATCTCATTACTTATGTAGGTTCCACTGGGCAATTTGTAATTCCAACTGGTTAATTGTTGTCTCTCTCTTAGTAGAAAAAGGGAAAGCAGATTTGCTAACCTTTAAAAATGCTACAGATATATGTCACTGATAGGATGAATTTTGTGCTGATGAAAATAAGTGTTTAAAAGGTGTATTGATGTATATATGTATTGTTATTTTTCTAATTATTAGGCTGCAAAGCACTACCAGCAATAATGTTTGAAACACAGATGATTTCCTATTCTAAGGACAGTGGTGAGGCACCCCACGGTATGTCAGATGTCTTCTATAATACAGTTTTCAAGTAATTTAAAGAAGGGCTTAGATTTAAGACATAATTAAATATTGTATATTTTGTATTTTAATAGTGTGCAATGCTAGTCGTCTTTCTAGGTTATCTGTCATGCTGCTCAAAATCCTTCATAACAATTATGCATTTGTATGTTTTGAGTGTCAGTCATTGATGTCACTCGTTCATACTTCAGTTTTTCTATCTGGAAAAAGTAAAATTAGCTGTATTTCACATCACATAGATTTATTTTTTTTAGATTGTAAGAAAATGGTGAATGGTTCCACTTTCTTACTGAGTTGTATTTCTAATGTGTTATTACAAATGGTTTAGAAGACTCGTAAAATGTTTGCATTTACCTAGTAAAACCAAAGAAGTAAGAGAAAAATTCTATTTTTATTATGTTTATAAGTTCCAGATTTTGTTTAAATTAAGTTATTGTTAGTTACATTAATGATGTATGAAAAGAAATAATTTTTATGACAATATTAATGTTCATTTAGTGAAACGTGAAAACAATAGCAGTAGAAACAACTAAGTGAAACTGAAGTAATATTGATCTGGAAACATGAACTTGTATGTTGTGGATCAGAGTGTAAGAACGATCCAAAGTCTTTATATGCTTTGTTAGGACAGTAGGCATCCTGTGAAGGCTCTAGAAACAAGCAGAGTGAGATCCTGTGAGGTTGTTTTCAATACCAGTTTTAGTGGGCTCCTTTTCAAATGAAATTTTTCAAACCATCTTTTCCATTTCAGTAAAGCTCTTTACATAAAGGAGTAAGGTTAGAAGGATGTTATGTAACCTACAGACAAGATGCAGATCAAGATACTAAGAGTTTATTTTAAAAAGTAAATAAATAAATAAATAAACACAACCACCCAGAAACTGTATATGAAGGTTGTCTGTAAATCTATCTACTTTACTGTGTAATCCCTATTATTAATATTGCTATTTTTGGTTAATCTCCAAGGCCCTTATAGCATTTTGTCCCCCTGAACATAATTAGGTTAATGTTCCATCTTTGTAGGACAGCTGCTTATATTTTTTTCATAGATTAGCTGCTAGCTTTCAGTGTCTTGTTCTGATTCCTGACACCTTTCATTAATGATTTCTGCAGTCAGATTACCATTCTGTGTATTAATTAGTTAACATTAATAGTGTGACACAGTATAATTTAATTATGTCATTATAAGGCTAGCAGAGTTTAAGAAATTGTTCATCCCTTCAAAAAATTGAAGCAAATACCGGCTGGAAGTAAGTATTGTGTGCATAAGAGCAGCCTAAGCTTGCCTCTTCAGACCTTGAGACGTTTTTGTTTGTTTGTTTGTTTTAGTATCTGACAGCATTGCCTTTTTGGTTTCTGATATTTTTTCTGGTTGGACAAAATCTTCACTGAGGACTAGCCTAAAATTATCAAATTCAATTAATTTGGGATTAATTACATAAAATTAATTATAACAAACTGTATTCTGACCTTCATCCATTTTTCTCATCTTTTTGAAATTATTCCTTCATATTCTTCATTCATTTTTGAGTCTTCCTCTCCTCATTTTTGAGATTGTGTTGAAAAGGAACAATGTTTTTTTGCATAAAGTGTGCAGCATAGTAATAGATGCAGCTGTTACATTCTCCTAGTCAATGTCAAGACCAAAGATTATCGAATCCCAAAGTAAAGGAAAAAAAATAACGTATCAGAAAATCTGATATCAGCTTCCATGTAACGTTTATCAACCTTCTGTATTTTATTTCTTTCTCCAGGTAAGAACGAGTGGACCACCATAAGGCAACGTAGCTGTGCTTTTGTAAACACTCCATTACCATGTATTAATAAAGCTATTTATCACATTCAAGAGTTGGAAGTAAAGCTGTATAAATGCTTTCAACAGGTACATTTATGGTTGAAAATGTCCAAGTGCTTTTTTGTGTAACAAGTATATTTTTAAAGTAAGATTACTATGGTGATTTCTATTTAAAAATGTTACTTCAGCTGGTATGTGTGGTCCAAAACAGTGCCCAGCAAGTTTTTTTTACTAGTTATGATGTATTATCTGCTTAATGGTTTAGGCAAATCAAACTGTCTCACAGCATCTTAATATAATATATCATATATATATTAGTAAATTCATATATGACAATTCGGATGCACACAGAATCGTTTCGATGATGTAGATAGTCTGCAAAATATTTCTTGATACTAATCTTGACTAGATACTCAGATTGATCTCTGTGCCATTTTATGTCACTGATAGTAAGCAATGTTCTTTCCTAAACAGTACTTAAAAATTCCTTGATTAAATATTCTTTACTCTTATGTTCTGTGAACAGAGCTGTAAATTTGAAAATACTATGTTTCTGTTTCTAGCAATATATGATGTTTTCATAGCCTATACAGATTTTGTATGACTAGAAACAAGAATAAGGGGGAACTACAAAGGGGTAGGCAGATGAATAAAAGTGCAATATATTCTGTTTTAAAGTATAGTAAAATCTTCCCATTAACTTCTTTGAGAACATGATTAGTATTATTTAAATAATTCACTTTACTGGAGGAGTGTTTTCCAAATGTTAATAAATTCTGTATATATCTACACTGCAGTAAGAAGATCTGATTGCTACTTTTGCAGACAAGTTATATTTAAATAATTTAGCTCGAGTATCGACCATAGTGCCATCATAGCAGCACATCAGGAAGACTATCTTACATTAATCTTCCAAAAACATTGTTAAACATGCTTCAGGGAGATTTCTGCAACTGCAGCATAGGTAGTAGAAGAATCCAAGGTGTATGAACTATAGTAATATCTCAATTTACAGCATAGACAGGTAGAAAATTTTATATGGTCTCATTCACCTGTATTTAAAATGACGTGAGAACAGTGAAATGATTTTAGTATTATAATTTTGTCGACAGTATACATGAATTAGATGGATAAACACTAGATACTCATTCATATTAATGCATATGCAGTCTTGTGCATGTTTTCCACCTCTTCTAACTTTGTGAGCATACTTAATACACAGAGCTTAAAAATAGTTTAAGGCCTTTAGACAGTGACATTGTTACAACTATGACTTAAGATGAAAAAAAGACAGGGTGGCTTCAGCATCTGTATTTCAGGAATGCTTCTAAAATTCGAAATTGGGAATATTTACAGGAATGAATATACTGCTACAAATATAGAGAGCCTTTGACTTTACTAGGATAAATATGAATTTATGTACATCTCTGATAGTCAATTAAATATCACCACTAATGTGTCCAGTAGAAATGGAAAACCTCATGTACTTATTGTTAAATTCGTACCCTGCAAAACAGGATAAACAGTGTGCACACTGCTTTGGGGACTGGTTTCTTATTCTTTCCAGTTCCTGAACTGTGCTTGGAAACTGGGAATGATTTGCAAATATGGTAATTGCAGCAATAAGATTTTGTAACAATCTAATGATGTAGGTGATAAAATTGCTGGGCCCAAACAGCCTAGTAGTTTTTTACTGTTCTAAACATAACCCTAATGAGGAAAAAGCATACAAAGTTCAGACAGACACTCTCCAATAGTTTTGAGATTAAAAACAAAGTATGGTGGTTAAAAGAGCAGCAATGGTATTAACAATATAAAATTAGTTTTAAAAAATTACATTACAAAATTAAGTAATACATGACACTTATCTACAAACATTTTGTTTTATTACCAACCTTTTGAGATAACAGTTTTTAAAAATTCAAAAACTTCATATTTATTTTAAGATGGTAAGAAACATACATCTGTATGTACACTGATTATATCCTCTTATGATAAAAATGTGGTGGCCTTTTTATTAGGAAAGAGGAAACGTATGTATTATCTGAGATGTATGATGGAGTTTTTATTTTACTTTTGCAGTATGACCATGTGTTTAAGGAAGAAAAAGTGCCACGGTAAGAATTGTATACAAAACATACAAAGAAACACACAGAATCATACAAAATGATGTATTTGATTTAATGTCAGGTAATTAATTGATGAGAAGTTAGTCTGACTAACTTTATAAAGTTATAAAGTCTTTATAAAGTCTGCTCTGTGAACTATAGACTATACTAAATTCTTCTGTTGCATAAAATTTATCTAAAGTATTTTTAGTACCTTCAGGAGCTGGTTATTTCAGGAGCCCTAAAGTATTTATGGAGTATTTCTTATATCCCTCCTATTCAGTGTTTAATTTTCAAAGTGATCTCATGTCTCAAGACCCACCTAGATGACGAATTTCTGTTGGTAAGAGTTGTTCAGTTTTTAGTACTTCTGTAATTGTGCCTAATCTCAGGTACTTAAATACAGCTCATTGCCCTTATTTTAGGCTCTCATTGCTTCAATTTAGAAGATACCCAAAATAAAGCTGACTGTGTGACTTTAAATCGTATTGTTCATGATGCAGGCTACTTTATAATGTAGTTCTCATAACAAAGATTAATAAGAAGAGTTTGAAGAGGAGAAAGTGTCTCATGCACACAGCTTGTTGTCCTGACTGTTTTGCTCAATGATCACTCCATTTCTCTGTATATTTTCACTCTGTCAGATATGCCTACTGAGTTACTTTGTGGTCAGTCTACTTAACCTGTTCATTGAACTCCTGCTTCTGCATCTGATTTGAAATCTCTTCCATCACCTAGTCGAAGTTTTCCTATCAAAAATCTTTTTATTGTTGTTGTTCTCTTCCCAGTACTTTACATGTATTTTTTATTGATCTAGGGAGGCTTCAGTTCTATTTTTGACATCAGATTTTTTTGATGTTTTTTTTTCTTAGAAACCCCAGATTTTTATTTTTTTTTTTTCATAGAAACCCCAGATTTCAGTGCAGTGCTTTCAACTCTGCACTTTCACTTTGTGCATGTATGTGCGATGTACCATGAAAACAGATTTCATTGTTGTCTTAGGTGCATGTGACAGACCTGTATGTGCTCTTTAACCTGCACATGTGGGCATAAATGGGTGGTGGTGATCTTTCATCCTCTTTCTTCTAAACTCCAGCAGGCTAATGAGCCTCGTGAGGTCACATGAGAGCTGTGGTTCGCTTGTGTTCTAATTTGTCTGTTTCAGTTATTTCTTTCCCTCTGTCACTTGTGGGTTAAACTTGTCCTGATCTCATTTTAACAATGCCCTCCTCTTTTCTGCTTTTGAGTCTCCCAGGATTTCAAAAGCTTGTCTGTTGGAAACTGATGAAGAACTTCGTATCTCTAAAAAATCTTTAATACTTTTCATTGTGACCCTTCAGTGATGACTTACCTTAAACTGATAAAAGTGAAACTACATCTAACTTGCAGTGTAAAATATATCTGTGTCTCATAGTGACCCTCAATGTTTCTGCTGTTTAGAAGAGTTTGGAAAGTATATATTGCTCCGCCAAGTTCAGGGCTTGGAAAGAGTAACAACTTTTCCAGAACAGTTTCTCACAACAGTTTCAGATGTTAAAGAAATCTCTTTCTTGTATTTCTATAAAGAAATGTGAGAAAAGCGTTTATGTGGGAATTGTACAATTAAGAATTCTTCTGTATGACTTGCAGAGTTTTTTAGCAATTATTCCATTCACCTAAACCAATGTTTAAATGTATAAGACTGAAAAGATACACTTTTGACTTAGTGAAAATAATATTTATGTAACAGCGTTAATTTAAATTCAGTCTAAAATTTTAGTGGCGGGGGGTTTTATCCACAGGATAACAAAACAGGTCAGTGCTGAATCTAATGAAGATACCTGGTTGTCACTGGATTTTCAAGAAGCTAATGTATCTTGTGAAGGTAAAATGTTTTATAGTATTCAGTCTGAGTGGTTATAGTTACTTACCCTCATTTAATATATGCTTTGCATATAATAATAGTTGTTAATTACTTGGTATATCTTATGTAAGTGATGAGTGTGTCCTTTGAAATCTGTCTGTGTATTCTCTGTCAAGCTGAAAGACATACATTTAAAATGTTATATTAAGTACTATTAAATCATCCTGTTTGCAAGACAGTAATTTACATTTCTGTATTTAGATTCATACTGCATTTTAACACATGTAGGAGTTGAACCGGTAAAACTAGTTACACTGGTTGCTGGAAAATCTAGATTATTTTTTTTTTCCATTTAATTTCAGTAAAACAAATATCTGCACCAATGTTGCAGGGTTTTCATAATATACTCCTGAGACAGAGTTCTATTTTTTACAATTTGCTTCTTTATTCAGATTATACTTTTTAAAATTATTTTAAGTATTAGAGAGATTATGTGCACTTTTTAAGCCACACTACATTTTAATTGCTGCTAGCCTGAGGCAATCCTGTCTGCAGTAAATTGTGTGATAACATTTTTGTTGATGCCAGCAAAGCCAAAAGTTCTTTCCAGTGAAAGTAGCTTAAGTAGTTATCTTTTTTTTTTTTTTTTTTTTTTCAATGCTCACAGTTTTAATCAGAATAATTTGGGAAATTAATGATTATTGACTGTGGGATCTAAATGTAAAGGTCTTGAATTCTGTAGCTTCTTTAGATCGGGATAATGGAAGACGGCCTCAAAAAATCTTGTATGGAAACAAATAACTCAGGCATTCTTGATAGCCACATTTCACAAAATAAGATGACCAACATTTTTTTGTTGTTTGTTTTTAAGATATTACACTGAATATTGTTAGAAATCTGAAGACTTTGATACTTCCTGGGGAAAATAAAATAAAATAGAGCAAAGCAAGTATTCTTTAAAAATTGAGATAATTAGGAACTTGATTACTGACCCAAGCAACATGGCAAAAATGAAAATTTGGTACCATCTTTATTAATGTATTTTTGTTGTACTCTGCATTTGACTTAAGCCAGAGGAAAATGCTACTGAAATTGCAAGTTTTATTTGCAACTAATTGTGCTTGCCTTGACGCTAGCTTTCTATTGAGAATGAAGCTGGAATAGAGTATATTTTTAAGCTTTCACAAGAAGTAATTATAATGTATTTTTTAAAAGCAATGTAACTAATTGTGCTTACCATGATACATGGGGATAGGCCAACTTTGTGTTGAGAATGAAGCTGGAATAAAAAGCATATGACTAAGCTTTCATTAAGAAAATAATTTTTAATGTATTTTTAAAGACAGCAAGACATTAACCTTGAAGCGCGAAACAGAAGCTTTGCTATTGGAAGTTACTGAGCTAATTAAGCGACTGGAGGCCGATCGTGAGGAGGCAGAAAAAGCTTTGGAGAGAGAGAGACAGCGAAGGAAAAAGCTTGGCATGGAAATAGATCGTATATCACTCTGGAGGCTGCAGCAGCTCCCTGCAGCTGTGCAAAAAGGTATCAGTATTGAAACTAAGAATATTTGTTATTTTTCAGTAAGTATGTTACCAAGAATAAGAATTATGACTATAGTTGTGTTTAGTGTAATAGAACTACAATATTTATGCTTCTGAATTTTGTATGCTTGAATATGTATCCATGGGAAGACAAAACAAAACAAAACAATACAACAACAACAAAAAACCAACAAGACAACAACAACACAGAATGTACATTAACAGAATAGTCAACATTGTTTGAGAAATAGCTTAAGAATAAACAAGACACTGAAGATTATGAGAGATACTCAGCTTGTGGCAGGGAATAAGAAGTTTAAGAAGAATTACAAAATAATGCAATGTGCTAAACTGTATATTAAACCATAAATTAAAAAGATAGTTTTTTTGTTTTGTTTTGTTTTTTTAATAAAATGTGATAAATTTGCATAACATATTTACATGAATGTTTTGATGTAACCATCAATAGGTCTCCTTGAAATCTCAGACTCTATGGACATTCTAAGATATTCTGTGATTAACTGACATCTACACTATAGAATTAAAAAAGAAAAGGAAAAAAAAAGCAGTTACTTTGCAGCTGTTGTTGTCTTCTGAGTCACAAGGCATACCGGAAAATAGGTAGCATTTGAACCTAGACTTATAGCCTGTTGCTTGGGGGAAAACATATATCTAGAGGAAAATTATAAACATGCATTAGCATTATCAGTGTTGTATCATGTCAAAAGCCATTCATATTCATTGACAGTCATAGATGCTATGATTGGGGGTGGATTACTCTTTCCAAATTCTCACTTAACTATTACAGCTTTTGTGTGTATGTGTTCTTAATATTGAAAAATGATGACAGCAGTCTTAAAATCACCTCTTTTTAGTTGTGATCACTTTTTTTTTTTTTTTTTTTTTTTTTTAAGGTTACTATCTCTTTGCTCTTGAGACTTATTCCCTGATATTTCTTTCTGAGTACTGTGATCTGTTCTCTATTCTTTGACCATGTTTATTACTGTTTTTTATTGAAAAGATGTGTATGGTTCTGCAACAACATTTCACCTTGGCTTTTTTTCTTTTTTTTTTTTATTTTCTATAGATGTTAATGTTGGTCTTTAGTGCAAATATGATCAAGGTAGTCTAAAGAATCTCACACAGCTATTTATCAAATCACATTAGGTGTTTGTAGGAAAAAGGAAAATAATTTTGAGAGCTCTTACTGGAATTACAGTTCAGTTTCTGAATAATTTAAACTTTTTACCAATAATGAAGCACTTGCTGTACTAGACCATTGTTAGGAACTACCTACGCTTGTTCCAACTAGGAACTACCAAAGAACTACTTAGGAACTACCAAGGCTTGTTCTTCTCTTGTATGCCTTGTGAAACAGATATTCTGCCCAGTTTAAGATGTTAAGAGAATCAAATACCTTCCATCCCAGTGTTTAAAGAAACAAAACATGGCAACACAGTGTGTAAGTCACAGTGCAGTCTACCAGAGCCCTGATTTTTTCTATCAAAGTTCAAGCTTTAATGAATCCTTTTGTGAGTGAGTATTAAGGAGAGCTTCAAATGACAGCTAGCTCCTGGCCTCTGAGACTGTAAAGAAACTTAACTGCACAATACTCCAGAATAGCCAAGCAAAAGAAGAAAAGAAAAACAAAGTTTTGAAACAAAGCTTCTGTGAAAAACTGTTACGTGTCTGCCTTCTGTAGTTGACACTTTGGAGTTTCAGACCCGTATGGACACAAGCACCAGCCTCAGGTGCATGTCAGTCTTAATGGTTTAAAGAAAATGAACACTAGAGGACATGTTTAATGATTTCATATTCATGTTGTCAAACTGAGGAGTTTGCTATAGTGAGAGAAGAATGGAAGCTCTGAAGAAGCTTACAGAAGTCAGTTTAATGCAGGATCCAACGTAATTAATTTTCTACTTCATTTAGAGGAGTCTTTTTCTAACAGAGATGCTGATGATAGGGCAGTCAACAGATGTAAAAAATAAAAATAAAAAAAAGAAAAAAAGATGACTGGCTGTCTTGGAGAACAGATTCCATAGTGGTGGATTACTTTTCCTTTCAGAATTTGTTTTCCTGCACTGAATTTAGAAAGTCCGTTAATTATGATGAAAAAACTGCTCAAGTTGTTGTTCTGGGAATACCATTTGTCTGTATATTTCAAGCTATTCAGTGCCAAGAGAGAATGGCAAATATTGATGAGCAAAATTTTTGATGTAATATACCTGAGTAGTGTCATATTAGGTTAACCACCAAATTCCACCAAATTCTTTATTTTTTCTTGGGAAGAAGGGTATGTATGTCATCATGGTAGTGAACCCATGGTTATGGACTCTAAAATCTCTAAACTTTTTTTCCTTTGTATTCCTCTTAGCCTTATTGGTTTGAGTTGCTTGGCTTTGTTTTGCAATGTCGTTAATGAATAAAATAGGCTGTTTACTTATAAGGAAGTCTTAATTCTTCTTGTCTAATATTAGTAAAAATTCACAAAAAAAAAAATAAAAAAAATGAAGGGGATGATATGTGTTTCATTAGTAAAAGGTAAAGTTTCACAATAGTGGAAATGGCTGGTGTGTGCCAAAGTATACCAAAAGATCATGTGGACAGGATGATCCTCCCCTTTAATGCATAAGAATGCACAATATCTGTAAAATCAGTAAATCAACATATTGTGGCTGGCAACCCACATACCTATTTGACCATTTTGACTATTTATTTTAACACACACCCTCTTTTTTTCTAAATAGTTCATATTCCTAACTTTCTATTCATATCTATATATTTACATATATAGATATATATGTATAGTTTATATTCCTATAGCAAGGGAATAAGCAAGAACAACATCAAACCATCAAAGTTATCATCTTTTTCTACAATATGTCACCATAATATTTCAAGATACCATGTTTGTTTATTATCAGTGAGTAGTGGCTATCTTGGAGGCTGCCAAATCAGCCTTGGAAGTATAGTATCTTTATTTCTGATTTTAGGGTCCTGTTCTTAGTTCCTTTACATTTGCAACACATCACATTATGTGAAGGTACTGCACAATTCTCTTAAGCCTTCCAGTTGACAGCTATAAATCTCCCAATTCCTTTTTACAGAAATGCCTCAGGTTATCCTGTAGGTGCTGTGGGGGTAGTTTATTATTTTTATATCCAGATGTCTAACAAAATATACCACAGCAGCAAACAATAGTAAGGACCTTAAAAATAGGAAATGAAACTTTAAACTTTCTATGTTAATACTTATTTTTTGGCTGGCAAATTATCTTTTATTTTCATAATGAAAACTGTTGAGTTCTGACAAAATCTAGGTTCTTGACGTTAGAGATGCAGTGGTCAATGTGTCTTCACTCAACTGGTTTTCATGTGATTTGTAACCATTTTAGTTCTATAGAGCTTTATCTTATCCTTTCAGTCTACAGTGCCTTTCTTACAGTGAGAGCAGTAGAGCAATATTTATAACTATTCCAAGAAAAAGGCCTCAGAGAATGTCAGTCCAATCTTCCCAGTTGTGTTTTTGACTACTTTTTACTGTCTTGTTTAAGTAAGTCATAGAAGAGGAAAATACAGGCTCTGAACCATCATGGTATTCCATTACATCTGTTTGTTACTGTGCTGCTGCACTAAAATTAGAGGTGGTGGGACACCTGTTAATATTCCCAGACATTAATTTGAAAAGTATAGCAGTGGTTTCTCTACAATCTTCCCATCATTTTCAGTATGGTATCAGGTGCCACAAGAGATATGAAGATGGAGAGGAAAAGAAGTGGCATAATTTATAATAGTAGGTTCCTGGATGTGAAATCATAGTCAGTACTAAGGCGCATACTCTGGTGCACAACCTCCTAAGATTTTGACAAATACCTCCCTCACAATCCAGGGTATGGTTATGGAGCAAGAGTCTTTCATAACTGTGTTTATTGATGGATAAACACTGCGTGAAAATGAGTGCATAATGAAGGTAAGCCAGTACTTGTTTAGTCCCAAACATGTACTTTTTTTTTTTTTTTTTTTTTTTTTTTTTTCCCTAGAAAGACAAAATATGAAATTGGACAGATAGATCCCTGACAATATGTGAGAATAATTTTTTGTTTTATATTTATTTTCTTATTTATTTATTTATTTTAGCCAATAACTAACTCTAATTGGAAACAAGAAACATGTTAAGGTTTTACCAGTTTGCAGAGATTGTTTTTCTTTTTCTTTTTTAATCAGTTGCTTCTAAAGTGCAATTTATAACATCCTGAAAACAAAAGAAGAGAAGAAGCTTCAAGAAGATAAGGTCAATGATAGAGCTTCATTCTCTAGCACAGTATTTCATAATTTGAACTGCAGAGATGTTACAAGTCAATTGCAGTGATACAAAAAGCAGTATATACATATATGTATATGTATATGTATATGTATATGTATATGTATATGTATATGTATATGTATATGTATATGTATATGTATATGTATATGTGTGTGATACTCTACCGATCTATTACTCTTACTTTGCTGTTTAACATTATCTGTAAGTATAAAAAAAATCAAAAGTTTGGAATAGTAGAATATACTGAACACATTGTGTTCATTATGATAATATATATGTTCATTATGTTCATATATATAATAATACACCATATCTATTAAAACAAACAAAAAAGCACAAAACAGCATGAAGTTTGTCTGTGAAGATTAACCCACTCTCCCCCTTGATTTATGAGTAGACTATGGTAGTACAATGTTGTGTCCTTGGAGTAAATTTGTCATTTTCAGGATTCTAATATTTCACACTATTATCTATAAGACAAAAATTATGTTAAAACAGAATTGAGGATAAAGGGAAAAGACCCTCAGGGATGTTATAATTATCCCTAATCTAAGTATTACAAACCCAGGAGATTCTTAATTAAGAGTTTGCATGACCCATTCATAGTAGGCACAGAATCCTGTTATTTCTTCAGACTTCCTTTGATTTCCATTATTGCTAGCTCCTGCTGCCTTTTTGTACTGTAACACATTCAACTAATTGCAGTGACATAACCCATCTTCAGAACTGACCTTCTCTGAAATATAACAAAAATCCAGTGTAATACACATTTTATTCATCTTACTGTTAGGCATCACTTAGTATGACACAGAAAAACCACTTATTCATACAAAGTCCCTTTAACTTTTAGTGGCAATGAAATAATAAATATCTAAATTTGTGATTTATGTCTTGTTAACACAGCAAATTTTATCCAATGTTAAGGGATTACACTGGATATTCCACAGCTACTTCTTACAGCTTGCGAGCTGTTTTCTCTGTGAAATGTATGCTTTCTCTCAGATTTGGAGCAGTTTACTCCTGCTGAGATATTTTCTGAATATATATATTTTTTCTTATCTGATAATCTTACTTTATTTTCCTTAGATTCATGCCAATACTTTTTCTCTATGTAGAACATGAACTGCTGCAGGACTGTTATGACACAATCTGTAATAAGCCTTTTTTTCTGAGCAAGATAAAATATATGCTGTCATTCAGCAACCAATGGTCTAGTTACATATTTTCTTGTAAGGACCCTTAGGAAATTTATGCCGGAGTAGGAAAAGTAAATGCAATGAAGTGAATTAAGACTGACACAATTCTGTGTGGCAACATGAACATGATCTATCTGATGGCTTCAAATGTGTATCTTTAGTCTAGCTTTTCTGAAGCCACCTTAATTCAGGAAGTGTCCCTGAACTGAAAACAGTTGGCATATTAGGGTGATCTAGGATATATACTTGTCCTGTTCTTCTGCATCAACGTATGTCCATTGTTGGTGACAGAGAAGTTCTGTACAGCTGTTTTTGTGTGGTAATATCCCCCTCAGGATATAAGTTGATGCCAGGTGTTTTAGTTTCCTTCATAAACACAAAAACACCTCTCACTTTGACAATTTGCTTGAATGATGTAGTTACATTATTAAGTATGAGTTTCTAAACTGTTCTACTGCTAACGCAGTATTTGGTGATGTCGTTTGTAAGCGATGTCCTCTGTTGGCCTTTAAAGTATTTTACAGCAAAATTTTGCAAGTCTTGTACTCGTTGTTATAACAACATATTTCCTAATCTCACTAAGTATTCATGGTTTCCCTCAGATACACATTTTGTTATGCTAATTATCTTTTTAACAGAATATGAAATGTGTGCTCAAGACACCTTGGAGCTACGATGGCATTTTGATTGTAAAAGCTGTCAGCTGCGACAGGTAGAAACCCAAATACTTAAGATAGAAACAGTCAACAGAAAGATTCAGGAGGATATAGACTTCATGAAGAAACACAGCCCTCTGCTGGAAGAAAAGCTAAATCTGGAAGGTGAAGCCGTGAAGGATGTATTACTGGCTTATGAAAAGGTGAATACAAATCATGCAAAGACATTTCTATTAGGACCTTTCCACTAGATAAGTGTATATCCTTTTAGAGAACAGCAGTATTTTGGCATTACTAGTCTGTTGTAAATTTTGTACACAAAGGCTGAGAATTGTGTGCCTGTACATACAGGCCATTACATACAGGTACTCAGTGTAGACAGAATCCAGGGAGGATAATGCTGTTGGCCTTTAAATGCTTCACAAGCATACGTGTAATATAATTCTAACTTTGTAGGTTGATTCCATGTGGATTTTTTTTTTTTGAAAGAAATATAAATGTCATATATCTGATGTCTGCATAAATTCTTCTCAGGTTTCTCACAGTCAGAGTTTTTTTTTTTTTTTTTCTTCCAGCATGTATAGGTGTTAGAAGTTGTAAAACAAACTAAAATTTAATTCTTTTCAAGTGCTGGTGTCTCTCTTTTTTTTTTTTTCCCCCTAATTTATTTGTTGGCAGTATTTATTGATAACAATATCGATAACCATATCTTATTTGTTGACAATAAATGCCAAATTAACTTAATTTCAGACTGAATAATCAAAGTTTAGCAATGTTGTAGGTAGTTTAAAATTGGTGTCTGAAAATGAGAGATACTGTGTTAACTCAAGTTTAGATTTTAATACTAATTACTTTTGATATATGTTTTATTGTTGCTTTATTTGCAAACCTAGAGATGAATCTATTTCAAGATGCTATATTTACATTAAAGATGTTTTATGCTTGTGGGTGATTCTTAATAAAAATTCTTGGTCTAAATTATTATTTTTTTAATTCACATTTTGAGGAGTCAAAAAATACGTAAATATGCTTCTAAAATTAAAAAGAGTTAATTGCATATTACATCGTATAAATAATATGATAATTGTTATAAAGTCCTTCTGATTCATTTCCTTTTTCTTTGTTAAATATCAGCAGGACTTGATCATGAGACAGTGTGAGAATTACAGCTTGAAAATTCCTTATGAATTACAGCTTAAAAATTCCTTCTATTTATATTTTTGGAAAAAAATTTCTGCACACCAAAACTTACACGTCATTCTGACATTTAAAATGGCTGGTAGTTCTGATATATAGATATATTTTCAAAATACTGGCTGATATATACTGATATATTTTCAAAATACTAATTGATATCTTAATACTAAATACTAATACAAAATACTAATTGCTTAATACTAAAATGTTAGTTTAAAATCAGTCATTTTGATTTTTATTTTATATCATTTTTTTCTTATCTTTGAGTACATTTTATGCAGTCAAAAATTGAGCTGTTCTAAAATACTACTTAGGAAACTGGCTTAAAACATACATACACACATATTTGTAAAGACTGTTTTAAATGAATACTTTTTCAGAGTTTTTTTTTTTTTTTTTTTTCCAAAAAGTGACTATATGTCTTAAGAATATAGATTTACTGTTCCTGTATCTCATTTGTATATTTAATTTCAACAAAACCTCTAATTATTAAATGAAACATTTATGATTCTTATTGTGCTCTAATTAATATGCTGTACATTACTCTTTTTTTTTTTTCATCCTATGGCCTTAAAAAAGCAAAAAAAGCAGCTAATACTGAATTTTCATTGCAAGTAAAAAAATTTACTCTTGAAGCTCTCGTTTTTAAAATCCAGATAACTAGTTTGAGCAGGTAAGTGCTAGATTGTAATAACGATTTTATATCATGTCATTTTTTGACATTTGTAACATTTTCAAAAGCCAAGGCTTGTGCATAGCCCAAAGTTGATAGGAGCACTGCTGTTTATACTAGTGAAAATGTTCGTTGTCTGCATTGTCTCAAGCCCCTCTTTTACACAGGTGTCTGCAGGGCTTGTACATCCTCTGGGATATACTTAACTAATGATTCTGGCAGTGAAACTTCTATGGCTTCTTTCAGCTTTCTTTCTTTCTTTCTGCTCCAGAGGTCACTATCTTCCCGTGGAAGTAGCCACCTTTTCACAATAACTTGTAAGTTTTGCTACAGAGCGAAAGGCCTCTTGATAACACTTCTTGATGTCATGCAGTTTTACAATACACATTCTGTTGTCTTTGCAGACCATGCAAAATTCATTGTTACGGCATCACAAAATACTGCTTCAACTTCAAACTTCAGTTTTAAGATTGCAAAGAATCAGACAAATCTAGATTTTTTTAAAATATTATATAAGATTTTTATGTAACATCTTTCAGAAAACTTATTTAATTTTGTTGCTTAGGCATCAAAAATATATAGCGATGTTCATTCTGAGCTCATGGAAATCCAAAAGACAATGAAGAGAATTGATGAAGAAGGGAAAAAGAAGATAAAATCTTTGTATGAGAATATTAAATATTCTGGGATGCTACTAAGTCGATACAAGTAAGAGCTATTCAAATAGTCAAATCGTGTTACATGCTTGTGTTAGTTTTTAGTAGTAACAATGAAACTATAGAGAGTTTGCATGTAGAAAACATTTTAATTTGTTATTTTTGTAAAATTAAAGTTAATAGAATCCTACATAAAATATGTGTTTGCTTTGTCTTAGTTTATATTAGCAAACTAGGGAAGGGATGGTGTCCACAAATATACACAAATGTAAGGTTCCATGAAGATCTTGAAGTATATATTTTTGCCTTATTTTAATTAATTATGATTTTTTTTTCCCTTTCACAGGATTTTTTTGCTATAATTCTTATTGACTACACAAATTACTTGCATTGAACAGCATCACTCACTGAAGTGTCATAGTACCATAGCTAATTTTGAATTTGCATGTTAAATAAAACAATTCTAGACAAGAAGTACTTTTTACCTTATCAAAATACATTTTTTTTTTATCCCACAAACAAACACCATTAATATAATTTAATTGGCTTGGAAGGTAGCTTCTGTAAAATGACGTATGTTGCAGTCTCTTCACTCTCACCTCTGGTCAGATTACTAACCCCTGATTTATCAAGTAGAACTATAGGGACACCCACGGCTGGTTGCTGGTTGGTTCTTTTAATCACTTAAGACCAAGAATATCTGTGCATTCTAACATTTCAGCAATTTAATTTCAAAAAATAATTGGTGTTCAGGAACTTGAAATGCCTCTTTCAGGCCCGTAAAAGGAGTACTTATTGCCTGCCTTAGAATTTTGCAAGTCTTTAAGCCTGTATCTGAAACACCAACTTTTGCAAAACAGAGCGGTCTCACAGTGTATTTTGGGGAAGAGATCAACCTCGGTAAATCATTAAGTTGCCTAATATGACTGGTGTTTTTGATGTCTGCTATTCAGGGAAATCTGAGCTTGCCAGTCAGCTGGAACAGAGGCCTTACTGACACATTCTGAGAAAGAAAGGTTATTTAGATGCAATCATTCTGTTTCTTTTAGAGATATACCACATCACTGTGGATCTCTCGGTCATTTTTCAGAACCACATCAGAATCAAACAAAGATCATAGCTCTTCCTGTCATATGTTTATACATCAATATAGGAGCAGAAGGAATCCCAGGTCACATGTATTTCCCCGAATGACATTGCTACTCAAGAAATTCCAATTGTAACACTCACAAAGTGTTTGTGTACTTGTAATGAGATATAAACTGTGTGACATCAGTGAGGTCTAGTCAGAGTAGGATAAAAATGTATTTTTCTTTAAGATTAATAGTTTAGCTATTCAATGCTAGAAAAAACAAGTCTTTTTGTCTGACTTGCTTTTTTCGTCAGCATGGTTTTTTTTTGTTGTTTGTCTTTGTTTTTTCCTTTTTTGATTCTGACCTTTACTATGAATTTCTCACAGTAAAGCTCTTACTTTACTTGAGTTCAGAATAATTTTGACACTATATTCTTTTCACCTTTATATTATTATTTTATGCTAATTAAATGTTATTTCCGATCAGAATAAAGGGATTCACATATGTTTAGTTTAGTTAACTAAAGCTTAATGTTTTTCATTCCAGAGTCTAGTTTGCAATCTAGAATTGCAAGAATAATAGAAAATGTGGAAAGAATATATGAAAATGAAAATCATATTCAGAAATATAGCTAAATCCAAAATATTTTAATATACAAATCCTGAGACAAGATTTCTGTAATATCAATACTTGTCAAAACTGGTGTAACTTCTGGAAATCATGTGATTCTCCAGTTAAAAGTCACTATGTGTGTACAAAGGAAGAAGTGTGTGAAGGGTAGGAGTCAATACTTATTTTTGATGGGTATGAGGCTGTGAATGCAAGCTTTGGAATGTCTTCACAATATTTGGAATTTAATTTTAGCTTAAATATAGAGAGATGTTCTGATCACATGCTTATTAGCTTCTCCGTGGGTTCCAGTTGAGAGAAATCTGGCAGCATTGGCCCTCATTCTGCAACTGGTAAAGTTCATTGCAACCTCATGTTGATTATGGGAAAAGTCAGATCCTAGGTAAGAGGTATTACTAAAAATATAGTGTGATTTATTACTATGTATTCAGATTCACTGCAAATCTGTTTAGTATTTCACTTGCCTATTTAATGTTCTGTTAATGTTCTTGTCTAAGTTACTAGCTGCTGGCAAGAATTGTTAGTGGTTATGGTGATCCACTGCTGAACATGTTTTTATTATACAATATCAGAGCAAACAATATGTGACTTCACTTTCCATCATATATATATATATATATCTCCTCCGTGACTTTGGATTTTTGCTTTGTTCCTCCTTCCTATCTCATTTCTAAATAAACTTTCTCTATTTTCAGTGTGCTTTCAGACCTCTCCAGGGTGTCTTCTGAGTTTTTCATTTCTGTGATATGCTTTTCAGAAATGGGTTAAAAGCTAATGCAAACAGTATTCCAAATGAAGCCATACCAATGACTTTAACAGGGATGTCTTGCTTTCATTTTTTATTCTAATGTTTTTCATCCCATTTCCTAATCTAATCCCTTAGCTTCTTTATATTTGTTAAATGTTGAGGAGAGCTTCAGAGTGTTTATGGAAATGTGTGCATGTTTTTCTTAATTTGAAATAATTAATTTAGAATTTTGATGTGTACGGATTGTTCAGCCTCTCCAGTCTTATACTTCTTTTGAGTATGGACACTACATGCTACATGCTGTTGTTCTCCCCAGTTTAGTTTATCTTGATTTTTCTTCTTAAGCTTCATAGCTCTTTTGGCCCTGCCTATCCTAAATCACGTTACATGCAGACTTTTAATTTCACTACACCTTGCCCTTTCAGATCATTATTAAATATAACAAAGCAGCAGATATGGGATGTTGAGATACCATGTTATTGACCTATTCTTTTAATGAAAATTGACCATTTAATTTTACTTCTGCATTTTTTTCATTAGTATTAGAATTCTGTAGCTCGTGTTAGAACTACTTTACTCTTTAATAGTCTTTTATGCAGGATTTTGTTCGGTTCTCTTTGGAATTCTCTCACTGCATCACAGCTGTTGGCTTATTTAGTAGTTTTAGGACAGTGTGGGCAGTTTTCAAGTTTTGTTTTGGTATTCTTGGTGGAAATCAAGACTTTGAATTTGTTTCATGTTAATGGAAAGAAATTGTGGCATTAGTCTAGATCATCGGGTAGTTACTGGTGAATTGTCACTTGTCAGTTTTCTTGTCACAAGCCTGTGTTCTGGGGAGCATTAACATTGCTTTACAGAAAAAAAAATAAAAATCTCTGTTCATTTGAAACAATCATAATGAAGTGAAATCCCTATGGTAATGGCAATAGGTAACTAATACCTCAACTTCATCATGTTGATAGAAATATGTATGTTTTCTGTTTCACCTAGTTAAGGGATTTTGTATTTGTACAACATGGCAATGATGAGGACTGTTGTGCATCTTACAACCTGTCCTGTTTGTGATAGCAGTGATTTTGGGAATATCAGCATTTACAAGAAAAAGTCAAGAATATTTTTTTCTACCCTTCACTGAAGAAATTAATTTTTTGTCTACTGTATTTTTTTCCATCCATTTGCTAGACTCATAATTAAAACCAGAATGCCAGAATTAATTAAAGAATGGCTTACATTCCAGAAGAAGCAGAACCTTCAGTTGCTGTCTAAGGAGGATTAGAATAGTATAGATGTGAGAAAGACAAATTTCTGATGGCATAGTCTTGAAAGACTGCTCTTCAGTTGGTACCTTTTTCTTTATGTTCAATACCATAAGTGAGAGAATGATGAATGATGAAACTTGAAATATTGAGGCTGGGGTACATCACACAGCACAGTCTGTTATTTTTGCACATATTCACTGTGGCTGATAATAGTGTATTTTTCCATGGGATTGTACTCAGAAAAGTTGTGGCTGATAGGCAGTATGAGAAGAAAATTACAGTCTATGTCTGTTAAATTTCTGTTATCAGAATAATTCCAAGTGTCATTTATATGTCTATCATGACTGGTGGGACCTGAGAGAGTAGACGTGTTTGAATTGTTGGTTTCGTGCTCATATTCTGTGACCTTTGGAATGTGATTTTGCAGAGTAAGTCTTTATCACTGGATAGATACCTTGGAAGCAAATAAAGGAAGTGTCTATCAAGTAATCTTGTAGGAATGGCTCTTGAATTACTGACTGAAGTCTTTTTGTCATACTGTTTTATTTATTTTTTTACTGTGTTTAGGTATGCAACACTTGTTCAAGGTTTTTTTGTGGGGTTGTAATGCAGTAGATGTTTGTAAAATACAGCTACTGTTGGCCTTAGTCCTGCTGTGGTGGATTTATTTTGCCATTTAAGGGGTGCTTGCTTAAATCATGTTATTGGCTGAGTTAGTTCTCTGGGGAGCATGGGAGAGACTCTTTTCTACCTGATGAAACAAAAATAGTGGAAAAACATGAGCAATCATTGTAAAGTTTTAACCTGACATCACTCTATTTCTTTTGCCTTTCACCAAATCCATTCTCTTACACAGCTGTAGCAAAAGACCTGCGCACAGCCTATAAAGAGGCCTAACAGTGTCTCCTGGGAGTGTTGTCCTGACTATTGTTGTAGTTACTACTACCTCTTTCTGTAATTATGAGTAGCTTTCCTTGTGATAAATGCAGTGTATGCTGAGAAATCTGCTATTCAGAGCTAAATTGAGATCTTTATCCCCTCCTTTGACCTTGCTTACTCTATGCAAGTGCCTTATTGCATGAAGAACTGGCATTTTACTTGCATGGTGGCACCAAAGATAGTGGTTACAATACTGGTTACAGAAAAAAAATATTCTTCACAAATGGCAATTGTCCACAAAATGACAGTGAAGTAATTTGATTAAGTGAAAATAACTCTAAATTATATTTAGCCTCTAGTAGAAAAAGAAGTTGACTCCCATTTTGTTTAATAAATATGTTGAGGTATGATGGAAAGTCTTCTGCTCAACTACACTGATACCTGTTTAGAGGTCCAATTAGAAGTTTCAGTGTTGGCAAACGGTTTCAAGTACAAGTGAACTGGTAGCCTGATTAGTTTTGATTTCTGACTGAAATTGTGTGAACCTGCCAGGGTAGATATTTTGAAAATCTCTCATGCATACCTGTTCAAGAAACGTAGTAGAGAATCAAAATAAATCTTTACTAATTCAGATCTGCTTTACATTTTCCTTTATAGAGAGGGACTACCTTGGAATATTTCCAAATAGATTGATTCACTTTCTGTGTATTTCTATTAGGAATGAGTTAAAGCATTCTGAATTTATTTGGACCGAATACTGTATGAAGTTAAAAGAAACAGAGGAGAAGATTATAAAGGATGAAAAACACCTTGAGGAGTTAGTGAAGCAAAAAGCAGAAATCCAGGAAGATGCAAAATGTTGGAACAGCAAAGTGAGTCTTGAATATTTATAAACAAGCAAGTAAATGAGTATCTTTTATTGAAAAGTACATGAATGCCTGAATATTTTTGTGTGTTTAAGAGTTACGGTCCTCTGTAAAAGTAAAAACACAAGTATTGATTTAAAAATAAAAAGTGGTAGAATTGTATAAAACTCTCTTATTCATTCTTGTGTTTTGTTATCAGTTTTCAGCATTTTTTAAGAAAAATGTCGTAGTCATCTTATGTTGCTTTGTGTGACCTGTGTATTTTTAGTTGTTGTATGCATATCTACCTAATATTGTTTATCTTCTTAAGTCATCTGGAAGTGTGTATTTAGCAGTACAACACGATTGTCCTATTGAATTAGTAGATTTTTTGTCCTGAGTTGGCATATCATACCCTTTTCTATATCATGCAGAGTGATAGTTTCTTTTACTTAAAATTCCTGTTTTATCTTATATTTGTTGGGCATCCCTTTTTAGTCTTGTATTGCTGTACACAGCAGTTTGAAACATGAACTGGAGATCCTTATGATGTTTGACGAGGAGTTTTCAATTAATTTACAGCTCCATGTGTGGGACCACTAGAGAAAAGGATGAATCAGGCCCAAAGCAATGTTCAGGTGCCTAAAACAGGATTTATATGCACACAACAGAACTTGTAATTTTTTATACCTATGCGTACATGTACATACATGTATATGTATAAATAAAATAACAGTAAAATAACAATAACTCTAAAAATAAATATTTGGAGTTTCCTTCACTGGAGATATTCAAACACTGTTTGGCCATGGTCCTGGGCATCCTGCTCTAGGTGGCCCATCTTGGTCTGAGATGTTTGATTAAATGACCTCCAGAGGTCTCTTCCTACCTCAAACATCCTGTGATTCTGTGAAATTCATTCTCTTGTGCCTGCCCAATACTAATATAATTTGTGCATCTACATTGTGAGGTCCAGAATCTAAGTGGAGTGTTTCCTGCATTCCCCAAGAGACTGAAACTGCTTAGCATGACCAAAAAAGGTAGAGATATACAGGCATATTAGACAGATATTTGATAGATATGTTCTTTCCTTTTTTTCCAATACTCAACTGTGTATTACAGTTTACTTACTGTTACTGGCACTAGCAATTGCTACTGGTATGTAGAAAAATGCTTTTCTCAAATTGAACCAGTACTTATCAGTAAACCTTTCCCCCCCCCCCCACCCTGTATTTCTTTTCCATCTTTTTTTTTTTTTCCTGGTCTGATACATTTCTGTGGGTACCAATTGGGTATTAAAACCGAAACAAGGGAGAAGGTAAAATGTGCAACAGGGATAAGGTGGAGCATGGAACGGTTCCTTTTGGTGACCACTTCTGGTTTGATTAGTTTATGCTGAAGATAAGAGTTAGGCTTAGCACACAGTTGAGCTGTTATTGTCAGTTTCATTCAAAAACATGGCTAAACCTTTACAAGCTAGTAAACCTTTAGAAGTAATTGAGGATTTTCAGAAAGCTCAAAGTGATTCTTCTGATCATCATGGAAATATTTGTGGGAGAATGGAATTATTTTGGGAGTAATAAGAAAATACTGTGATTATTTTTAGCAAATTAAGTGGTGTTTGAATTGGATCTAAATTGCAACATGCTAACTGTCACATACATCATTATTTTATTATCAAGAAACAAGTCTGAAGACATAATTAGTGATGTAATATTTTTCTGTCTTTTTTCCCTTGTCTTGATTAATGCTTTTTTATTATTATTTATTTGACATGATCTAGTAGGAGTGGTTTATTGTTTAGTAAATGCTACAACTTTTAGCAGTACAAGGATAAATCTGAGTGTTATTTTTTTCCATGTTGCTGAGGTTTGTGATAAGACAGGCATCTCTATGCATCAAAACCACCTTTCTCTATCTGTATGGGCATAGCTCTTCAAAGATGAGAAAAAAGCCTCCTCATAAAATTAATCTCACATTTACCTACATCTCCATTATTCTGTCACCTTCATTGGTGTCCAGCAATTCAACAACACTTTTTTTTTTTTTTTTTTTTCCTACCCTTTAACTAATGGAAGAGGGTTTGGAATCTGAAACTTGGTGGAGACTTAAGATTCATTCATTTGGTAGCCTGCCATCAAAATATTTTTCCAAGCACTGAGGGGAATCAATGCCCTCCTAATACAGTAATGCAGCAAAATTAATGCTCTTTTGTTTCCACTAGCAGCAGAAAGAGATTGGGCATTGAATAATATAGTAGACATGGTTGAGGCAGACAACAGCCCATTAACAAATTAGTTATATAAATATAGTATCTTCATACCCACTTCCTTATAATGCTCTGTATAACAAAAAACAAACAAACAAACAAACAAAAAGTTATGAGGTAGGTGTATATAGAAAATCAGACTTAGGAAATTTTGGATGCTGATTTATTTGCAAACCTACTTTTAATGATCTGTACAGGGAACGTCTAGAGATGTTTTCAAAAAATAAAGGTTTATCCTGAGATACTTCTTGAGAAACAAAGGAAGTGATAGAAAAGTATCAGATACTAAGTATTACTTGGTTGTAGTTAGTGTCTATGTGGCTCATATCTTTGTTGCATCTATGCAAAGGCATAATTTGATGTTAAAAAACTTAAGAAGTCTTAAGATTTCTTCATCTGAAGGTGTTACTCAATCTACAACAAATTATTTGGAGTAAAGGACCAAGGGATTTGTATCTGAGTCCCCTTCAAGTTGGTCTTCTGCCCTTAAAAATTCTGAAGGACATTGTAAATCCTGCATAAGCAGGATACAGATGCTCTTAACAGTTAAAAGAAGCATTTTTTTTTCTAATATGCTTTTGTAAAATTTGGTCTACTCCTTTTTTTTTTTTGTTTGTTTGTTTTTTGTTTGTTTGTTTTTCCTTGCTACATCAGGTACAAATAGTAGATTATTCCCTTTGTTGCTATGACCATATTGCGTATGCCTGAAGATTTGGAATGTCTCTGCTCTGCCATCCCTGCTCTAGACAAAATAAATTTGTTCAGTCTGATCTTACATCTTCTCAAAGACTTTGTTGCCTTATTCTAAGTCATTATATACACTATATCTTATTGTGAAGAACTGCAAAGTAGCTGTGATTCAACAGCTTCTTTTGGACCAGCTTGAAAAGTGTGAAAAAAAGAGATAAACTGTTGCCTATATGAAGTGCAAAGATTTAATGACTTCAATAGTCAAGTTATTCCAGATCTTTACTTCTGTTTCCAAGAATGTTAACGCTATCTGGTCTTCTTACACAGATTTAAAAAAAAAAAAAAAAAAAAAAAAAAAAGTGTAAATTAAGTTTTCAAGTTCTTTGCTATGTGGAGCAGTAAATCTACATCAAAACAGTTGAAAGTAAACAACTATCAAGGAGAGGTTTTAGTTAGAATTTCCTTTCTTTTTATCTGGAGTATGATGAAAAATGGAGAAGGAATTAAGAAAAATGGATTCTGTAATAATACTTCATAATATAGTTTAAAAGAGGACAGATATAATAGAATCATAGAACCATTAAGGTTGGAAAAGACTTCTAAGATCATCATCTAGTTCAGCCATCCATGTACTACCAATATTGCCCACTAAACCATGTCCCTAAGTACCTCTTCTACCTTTTTCTTAAACACCTCCAGGGATGGTGGTGACTCCACCACTTCCCTGGGCAACCCGTCCCAATGCCTGACTGCTCTTTCTGAGAAGAAATGTCTCCTAATTTCCAACCTAAACCTCCCCTGGTGCAACTTAAGGACATTCCCTGTAGTCCTATCACTGGTTACCTGTGAGAAGAGGCTGACCCCCAGCTCCCCACACCTTCCTTTCAGGTAGTTCCAGAGAGCAATGAGGTCTCCTCTGAGCCTCCTCTTCTCCAAACAACCCTAGTTCCCTCAGCCACTCCTCATAAGACTTGTTCTCTTAGACCCTTTACTAGCTTCATAGCCCTTCTTCAAACATGCTCGAGGGTTCTTTCTTGTACTGAGGGGCCCAAAAGACCTCGAAAGAACTCGAGTGTTCTTTCTTGTACTGAGGGGCCCAAAACTGAACATTGTACTCAAGGTGCGGCCTCACCAGAGCAGAGTACAGGTCCTGCTGGCTGCGCGATTCCTGATACAAACCAGGATGCCATTGGCCTTCTTGGCAACCTGGACACACTGCCAGCTCACGTTCAGGTGAGCATCAATCAGCACCCCCAGATCCTTTTCCTCTGCGCAGCTTTTGAGCCACTTTCCCCTAAGCCTGTAGCATTGCATGGGGTTGTTGTGACTAAAGTGCAGGACCTGTCACTTAGCCATGTTGAACCTCATCCCACTGGCCTCTGCCCATCGATCCATTCTGTCCAGGTCCCTCTGCAGGGCCTTCCTACCCTCTGGCAGGTTGACACTTCCCCTCAACTTGGTGTCATCTGCAAACTTACTGAGGGTGCACTCAATTCCCTCGTCCAAATCATCAGTAAAGATATTAAAGAGGGTGGGCCCCAACACCACTAATCACCAGCTGGATTTAACTCCATGACTGGATTTAACACCATATTTCACACATAGTGATAGAAAACTAAGAGGCAGTTATATGATGAAAAAGAGATGTAACAACTGAACAGTATTCATAATGCTCAAATGCACAGTGAGCTTTCCATATAGTGGTTTTATAAGTCTGTATTTATTGTCTGAATTGACAACATATACCTTTATACCTTAGATCTCCTTTGGAAAGACACATAGCACATAAAAGATCAAACAACAGTTCTGTGTTGTGCTCCAGAGACTGCAGTTAAGCATATTACTCTCATGGTCATCCTTCACAGATATCCCTAGTCGGGTCTTTCTAGATTTCTGCTTTTAATTTGTGAGAAGCTTACAGACTTGCCTTTGTTTTTGCAAACTACCTAACCTGCTTAAACGACAGACAAATGGAAAATGAATAAATTTAGGAGATGGAGGTCATTATAAGTTTTTATTTGTTTGTCTGTTTTCATTTTTGGTTTTGTTTTTTATTATGCTGTGTATTAAAAACACTGCTTTATTTTTGAAAGTACTAAAAGTGTTGTGTTAGAAGGGATTTCAAGAGACTATCCTGAAACTAGTCACACCATATACCTTGCACAGTGTGGTAGTATTTATTGTCATTCTTGTCAAAATATTTGCTCTAAAAACATATGAAAAGGGGAAAAACATTTCTAAATTATTCTATGTACTAGCAATTTAAAAATTGGGAAATTTTTCTCATAATCTGTTTCTTTTTCCCCTATAAATGTAACCAGTTTCTCTTTTTGTTCCCCCAGTGCCTTGAAATATAGTTGATTTCTGTATATTTTTTAGAATATTTTACATATTGAAATACACTGCTTTTTGATCTGCTTTTTCTAGATTGCTAGAGGTGCTTCTTTTCAGTCTTTCCAAATATACCATGTTTTCTAATCCCTAACCATTTTTCTTTCTCTGTGGACTTTCACAGTATATTTATATCTTAAATTATGGAGCCCTGAAATATACGTACTGCTTCAGTTGAGGACTTGCTACACATCAGGCTTTAATGAAGTAGTTTTTATTGATTTCTATAAATATTAAATAGATTTTTTTGACCTAGAAAATTATATGATTATTTTGTATTTGATAACGAACATTTGCAACTGTCTCTCTTGTAAAACTGGTCTTTCTACAATTACTTTCTGTTCTGAATTTCTCTGTCACATGCTTCCTGAGTGTAACATTTTGTATTTGTTTGGATTTAATTTCATCCTGTTGATTATATACCAGCTTCTAGTTTATCATATGCCAGTTAGACCCATATCTCTATAGAGAATGTATAGGTAGGTTCTGTCAGGATAGCTCTGTTATTTCAGTCTCTGCAGAGGAACGAGGGAAAGAAAGCACAGTTTGTTAAGCTCAGTGTGAACAGGTATGCCTTTACCTACTTAAATCCACTTTAAATGTTTTCCTTATCCGGTAGATGCTTGTTTCCCTAACATCCTCATTTTGCTTTAGTTCCGTTGGGTGGTCCATCATTGAATCTCTGTATTAATCTCTGTTAATTTGATAGATATTTCAGGATATTAAGGAAAATCTTGAAGCTGAGAGGAATTAAAGGTATTTTGTTCAATTGCACACCATATGTCATGTATGAATTTGCAGGCTGTGAGTGTGTTCTTACTGATACCGTGAAGTCCAAAGATTCTGCTTGGATACATAACAATTGGAATATGCATATAAATAACAGAGCATGAAATACCTCCAGTTACTCTTTAATAGCCTTCCTTTTAAATTTTAATGTAAGATATATTGTTCAAATTTTACAAAGAAATGTAGGAGATGTTTGTATTAGTAATTACTTAATTGTTTAAAATATATTCTAGGTAGAAGACATGAATAACAGAGTAGCTGCCCAAACTGATGAGAGCATAAAAATATCAGATACATCTTCTGAAGTGGTTAAAGCTATGGAAGAATTAGTAAGTTCTTTATTTATTTTTTATGTAACTGAAACAAAAAGGTTTGCATTTTTGTTTGCAAACTTTTATTTTCTGTGTTGACCTGACTTATTTTGACTTATGTTAAAGGTGTCTTAATGTTTTAATGATCCTTAGAAATCCACCAGAGAAAGTGATCTACGGAATATAAAGCAAAAGCTTCTCAAAATTGATGAAGCACTGAGTGCTTTGAAATATGAAAATGAAGGACTTGAGGGAGAAAATGAAGAGCTTTTGCAAGAATTCAGAGATAGGTAATACTAACGATATAAACATTGACATAGGAAACAAGCATTATTTTTTCACTGAAAACATGCCTATTAAACAGAACCTTGCTTTTATTTTAAGTCTGTCTATAATTAATATTTCAGTAATTTCAAGTCTCTTCAGGCAGAAATTTATCATTGAGATTTTTTGACCTTGACTTGAAAGAAAAAAAAGCTAAAATTCTGCCAAAGAGTATGTATATAGTTTGACAATTAAAATTAAACAAGGAAGATTCTGAATTCTCTTTGTTAGAAAAAAACTCAGTCTTAAAAACATTTTGGCAAAGCTTGTATGGATTTTATTTTTATTTACGATCTTTATAAAATAGAATCTGAAATACTACATTTCTCTACTTTCTTTGAGTTCTTGTTAGACATTATGCACATTTTTTTTAGCTCTTCAGTTTATTTATTCCAAATAGCTGTACTTTAAACTATATTGTGCTTAATATTCTCAGTGCATTAATAACATAATAGAAAATAAATAAAACCAATTTTCAGTTCCTTCTTCATCTGGACATCAGGTGTATGCTGTTTTTAGGTATTTGACACATTGCTATTTATCCTCCTGATCTTGTGATCTTTTGGATCTGCAAAGTCACTGAAAAGAAAAAAATATCGAAAATAATTGTATTCTCACAAGTACTGTAAAAATCAATAACTGAGTTCAATAGACATACTGTCAGCATGAAAACATTCCTTACTAGACCCCAACAATTCTATACAAGAGATGTAGGAAAGAGGGGAGGGAGAGTATAAACACAAAGATGCAAAAGGGAAGGAGGTATGTTCCTGTCCCTGTTAATGCTCCCAAGTTGGAGCTCATACCTTACACAATCAAGCAAATCAGCCATAGGACTCAAATGGGTATGAAACCAAGCTTCATTAGAGTTCTGATATTCACAGAACTACTACTAAGAACATTTTAGAATTAAAAGTTGGTCATTTACCTTTACAAATTTGTTAGTTTCAACTGCATTTAATCTTTTTTAAGCATTATCTTTTTCATATATAATTAGCATTGTTGTGAGTGTGTCGTGATTATCGTGTCCTTCCACACGTTCAGGAATTCAAGAAATTCATGCTAAAGTTTGGATCACAGACCCAGACAGTCAATATAACAAGTACCTAGTAATGAAGCTCTCCAGGAACTCAGTCTTTTTATTTTTTCAATGGATGAGCTGAAGACATTCTGAAGGGGAAATACCTTTCTAGACAGCTATTTAGTTTAGTCCTAGAAACCAACGAGAGGAAGCTTATTCAATTTTAAATATTTTTTACAGAAAAGTGTTAATTCACTAGGAAAAAAAAAAAAAAAAAAAAAAACACTTTTAAAATATATCTTGCTTTAGTGGAAGAAAAGGATTCTTAGTCAGCCTAACACAATCCCTGATCTCTGTATATTGTTTTCCTATGATTAGTTAACTCTTAAAAGGATTTTCTGAGATACTTTATTATAGAACCCTTCCCTATTCTCAATCCTAATTTCTTGACCAGTAACCTCACATGAGAAGTATTAATTCCTAGAGAAAAAGGAGTTGCTAATCCATACTAAAATTTCAGATAAATTACATTCCTCTTATTCTACTGAATACAAGCAAAACAGAAAGGAATAATGTTGTTAGTATGGATTTTTGTCTGGGTAATACAGAAATTGAAAATCTTTTATCTTATTGGAGTTCTTGGCTAAATAGGTGTGTTTTAACTAAAGGCTACAAATAATTATAGTTCTCTTGGTTGTTTTGCCATTAAATATCATGGAGGAAATAGGATGTTTATTCTCAGAAACCTTTAAATTCTCTCATCTTCTATTAATCTCTTGCATTATATTGGAAATATTTTGCATATCAGATCATTAGTGTGATGGTCTGAGCATTTTGTAGCCTCCCACAAACATTCTCAATATAATTGTGCTTTGTTTTTCACATTCATTTCTGAGTATATTGTGATATCAGTATGTTCTTTTGCATTAGGGTAGAATTGCTCCATTTTATGAAATTGCTATAGAGTTTCTGAAGAAATTAGGGAAGGTGTTAAGGTTAGTAAGGATCTTGTTTCATAGAGAAAATTAAACTTGTTGCTCATGAACTTGATGGGGACACCCTTTAAGCCATTTCTGATGTGTTCACTAATAGCTTTACCTAGGTCCTTGGGAAGGTGACGGAGCAGCTAATACTGGAAACCACTTTCCAGGCACATTTTACAAAGACAGGAACATCACAGAATCATAGAATCATTTAGGTTCAAAAAGATCTTCAAGAACAACAAGTTCAAACATCAACCAGACCTACCATGTCCACCATGTCCTATCATTAAACCCTTAATGCTATGTCTACATGTCTCTTATATACCTCCAGAGCATCAGGAGTAGTCAGGATATATTCACCAAAGGGAAGTCATGTTTGATGTACATGATAAACTATGATGAAATTACCAGCCTGGTAGATGAGTGGAGAGCCATGGTTATAGTCTTCCTAGACGTCAGTAAGGCTCTTGGCACTGCCTCCCATAATACCACCATATAAAAGCTGTTGATGTAAGGGCTGGGCGGACAGACTGTGAGGTGAACTGAAAACTGGTCATATAGCCAGGCACAGAGGATGGTGATCAGTAGCATGAAGTCTAGCTGGATGCCAGTAATGAGCAGTGTAGCTCAGGGGTCAGTACTGGGTCCAGTCCTGTTTCACATCTTTGTTAGTGAGCTGGATGACAAGGCAGAGTTTACCGTCAGCAAGACTCCAGATGATACAAAACTGAGAGAAGAAGCAGACACACCAGAGGATTGTGCTGTTATCTAAAGGGATGTAGATAGTCTGCAGAAATGGTCTGACAGGAACATCATGAAGTTCAAGGGGAAGCTGATAATTCTGCACTTCGGGAGGAACAACCCCAGGCACCAGAACATGCTGGGGGTCACCCATGAATCAATATGAACCAACAATGTCTCCTATGTTCTTTGTCATTCTCATAATTTCTTTGTGCTGTTTCTTTGTGCATTCCAGTATTCAATATTCAACCTTTATGTTTTCAATAGGGAAAAGAAAGTGGGGGGGGTGGGAAGAGGGAATATGTGCTTGCCTTACCTCATTTTAACTGTTCTGTATAATCTTAGAGAAGGGAACATTTAAGTAGTTTTCATCTTAGTCAAACTAGAGTAGGTGGAAGCCAGTATGCCCGAGCCATGAAGAAGGCTAATGGCATCCTGAGCTGCATTAGGAGTGTTGCCAGCTGGTTGAGGGAGGTAATCAGTCCCCAAAGCTCAGTGCTGGTGAGGCCACACCTGGTGTGCTCAGCCCAGTTCTGGGCCCCCCAGTACAAGAAAGACCTGGACATACTGGGGAGAGACCAATGTATGGCCACAAAGATGAGAAAGGCACTGGAGAACCTCTCCTGTGAGGAAGGTCTGAGAGCTGGAGCTGTTCAACCTGAAGAAGAGAAGGTCTGTGGTGGATCTTTTTTAGGAATATAAATAAGTGATGGGAAGGTGCAAAGAGCATGTAACCAGGCTCTTTTCAGTGGTGACCAGTGCCAGGACATGAGGCCATGCGCAAAAATGAAAACACAGGAGGTTCCCTCTGAATATAAGGAAACAATTGTTGACTGTGTGGGTAACTGAGTACTGGCACAGGTGGCCCAGAGAGGCTGTGGAATCTCCCTCCTTGGAGATCTTCAAAAGCCACCTGGACATGGGCCTGGGCACCCTGCTTTGGGTGGCTCTGCCTGAGCAGGGGGTCAGAGCAGGTGACCTCCAGAGGTCATTTCCAGCCTTAAGCATTCTGTGATTCTGTGATGAAGGTTAACAATATGGATATGTAGGAAAATAATAAAAAATAGGTACTTACAATTCTTTGATATGAATGAGCAATCAGGGCTTACAGTCATGAATAGAGAAGGCTTAAAGTTTTGAGGAAGAGCTTCATGTATTCAGCATCAAATAAAAGGGTCTAAAATACTGCTTTTGGTTTTGATTTTCAAATATTTTTGTTTTACAGTTTGATACTGGGTTTTCCATTTAGTTACTGTATTTTATAAAAGGTTATGTATGATAATGTCTGTGTTATTTTAACAGTTCAAGAAAAAAGAAGTTGTATCAGTCACAAGTCCAAACTATCTGCAAAAACATAGAGAAGACTGAAGAACAAATAGAAAGGCTAAATGAAGAGCTCTGTAAAAATGAACTGTCTTATAATGAAAAAAAAGCAAAGTATGAGGAAATCCAAACAGAAATAACTGCAGAAAAAATCTCTTACAAGGTTGTGATTTTTATTATTATTATTATTTTTAATTTAAATTCATTTTTAGATTGGAAGACTAGGAAAAAAAGATCTTTGTAACAGAGAAGTATTGAGCAAGCAACCTAATATTAAGCAAACAATAATGTAAAATTTCTGTGTTTTAACATGTACTTTAAAACACTTGAAAATGTGGAAAATAATAGCCTCTGAAAAAGAAAATAAATTGGTTACTAAGTGGTCATGGGTAATGACAGGCTAAAAATTAAAGTTGACAAATTTTAAAGACTACTAAGATTTTGTTATTCATAGGTGATTCAACATGGATAGTAACAAATAACCATATTGTTCTTTTGTAACTACATGATTACAAGGATTTGCAAGTCAACATATTTTTACTTGTTAGTAAATGTAAACATTGCAAATGAAATTATTTAATTATCACTTGGATGTCATTAGTTATCTAGAACTGAAATTGAAATTCATCCTTATGAAATTCATCCACAAGTCTTGACATGATTGTGAAGGCTTACGAGACTGAGAAGTATTTTTCTGTCTTTTCGCTTTACATAATTTTTAATAGATAACACTGTAAATATCACTGTTATCAGTGTTATTGCAAGGTGTAAAATTCAGCATTCAGAAATACAGAAAAGAAATAATCAGGGGAATTTTCAGGGGTCTTTATGCCAGTGTGTTTTGTATATTCCTCATTAGTGTTCTACTGTATGTATAGTATAGATTGCCTGGAAGAAAAGACTTTAACAGTTTTATTCTCTGTAATAATTTTAAGATTTCCTGACTTAATCAGTAAAATTAAGAACATCATAGTATTTTCCAGTTTATAGTATAAATTGGCATACTAGGCACTCCACATTTTTCCTGCATTCCTTTTCACCTAAGTTCTTGGACATCTAAGTACCAGACTCTGTTTCTAAAAATAAACGAGGAATTGTTGGATGTGATTTAAAACCGAACCAGTTGAAAGATGTATGGAGCCAAAGCAAAAAAATGTAAAACATAGGCTAGAGAACCTTGGAGCTGTTAAGGCCTTGCACTGTGCCAAGTTGTCTTCTCTTGGATTCAATTTATATTGTAGGCAATACCTGAATTTTCACCATGTAGTTTTGGCCTATAAATCATCTTTTTGGTATATTATGCTGTTCTGTGGACATGCGTTGTAATGCTAAATTTGCGCTGTTTTGTTTGTGTATAAATTTGATGAGCACCACTTTCTCTACATTCTCGGTGTTGTGTGCTGAAATTTGTACACAATTAGATGTTCAACTGCACAAGCAGGAGAGTCTATTATACTCTTTCTTATTTGATTTTTTTAATGGTTATTTAGGAAATGATTAAAAATTAGTCTGAGAAATAAGAGTTTTAGAAGAATTTCAGGCAAGCCCCTGTTTATTTGCTGTCCTATGTCTTTTTTTGTCTTAATTTATCTTTTTCATGTAGCTATTATATTCAGTTATATTTTGAATTTTTAAAATCTGTAATATTTTGTGATAAAGTCAAATGTTGTGTGACAATTTTTTTTCCCTTATTTTCTGCTTTGGATGCCCTATCCATGTAAGGCCCCAGTTCTTATTTTCAAAGAAGTAATAGTCAGTCATTCTATATTTACTTTCCACTCGTCACACATTACTTTTATTATATTCTTGCTCTTTTTCAGGCTGAAAACTCCTGATCCATTAATTGTTTCATGAATGAAAACTGCCCCATATCTGTCATCATTCTATTTGCTCAGTACTGTTTCCAGTTCTATTATTGTGGGGGAAGAAAGCAGGACTAGAACTTGCATAGAATACTCAATAAGTAGACACACGGTGGCATATACATGTACAGTGGTATAAAGATGATCTCTTTTTTTGTCATCTTTCCCTTTCTTAATAGTTCTTAACGTTACACTTATTCTTTTAAATGCAGTGGAGAATTTTATTCACAGTGTCATGGAACTGTCTGTTTTACCTTCATGATATTGTTCCTGTTTGATTACTAGCCACCTCAAAATCCAGTCTTGTATAAAAAAATACATTTTAAAAAGTGTCCTAATGTATAAATCTACATTTACATTAATTGAATTTTGTCTACTGTTAGCAAAACCCAGATGGTTTTACTAAGTCATTCTGCAAAATACCCTATTTTCCATATTGTCTCTGAATAAATTGGAAACCACAGGATCCAGCATGGACCTTGCAGGACCCAATTGTAGCTCTGATGCTATGAAAACTAATGATTTATTTCTACCTTTGAAGGTCTTCTACCTTTGAATGCATTATATATTCATGTTAGGACTGATTTCTTATGAAGTCATTTATATAATACTTTATGAAATACCAGCTAAGAGTCCAGGTAGACTGTATCACCAGACTCTTTTCCACATACTTGTTACATCCTTCAGAAAATTGATGACTTTGCAGCACTGCTTTCCAGTCATAAATAATATATATATTTTTTTTTCATAATAATACATGTTATCAGTTTGCCAATTAGGGCTTTTAATGTTTTATTTGCTTTGGGATTTAGTGTTTTTTTTTTTGTTGTTGTTGTTTTGTTTTGTTTTTTTCTATCATATTTTGAATGCTTCATGTTCAAATATGTATGTCAATGCTTTTGATCATCTGTTGGTTTTATATTGTCTCTAGAAGCCTTCCTACTCAGATGTGTTTGGAAAAAGACTTGTTACTAGTTCTAATGTTCTTTGTAGGTTTTCTAAAAACTCTTACTTGTGTGGCGTTATTTTTAGATTTAAATTGGCAAAGTTCAGGATCTTTTATGTTTTTCTTCTTTTAGACATAATTTCAAATTTTGGAGCATACAGTCAAGCTGCTAATAGCTTCTCTTCTGTGTGATTTTATTTTTGATATTTCCAGACTGTTTGTGAAAACTTGACATGAATGTGCTTTTGGTCTCCAATATTATATTAATTAAGATATATAAGTAATCTCTGCCTGACATGCAAATAGTTGACTGCCTCTTGTAATGCTTTTAATAAAGTATTCAGAAAAAAAAAATCTTTTTTTTTTTTTTTAAATTGACTACAGCATTACTTTTTGGATTTTGTTCTTTAATGTCCCTTCTCAAGTCATAAATAGTGTTGGAATCCTGGACAAGTAGTCAGTAAGAAATGTATCTCAATGCTTTACACTTATGGTAAGGGAATTTAATTTTGTATGTGTTATCATGACTTAACTTCTACATTAAACCATTGCTAATGGTCCATCTCCAGTGATAAGATAGCTTTCCAGCACCACTCAAGTAGATTCAATACCCTTGTTGTTGAATACCTCCATTACTAACAGTTGCAGAATGATCATTCTGTTATCAGCTTTAATGTTCCTATAGTTAGTCTCAGCTACTGTAACTTAGCAAAAGCACTGTGGTTATAATAATTTAACAGCATATGAAGACACACACAGGGAAGGTGGCCAGAAGTTGCTAGTTTAGTGAGAATAGAGTGCAAGAGAAGCTAAGATACCTCTCTGTCTAAGAAACAGTTGAGCAGAGATGAATTTTGAATATGGTCATATAAACAAAGGTGCAATTTATATTTATATTTATATTTATATTTATATTTATATTTATATTTATATTTATATTTATATTTATATTTATATTATTTATATTTATATTTATATTTATATTTATATTTATATTTATATTTATATTTATATTTAATTTGACTGCCTGGTCTCTGCTGTTATTTTGTTAGACCAATCAACCCTTGGTGTGTTTGATAAAAGTGTCTGTCTGTAACCACCAGTTAATCTGTTTCTGTGGGCTACTGAACAGACTGAAGAACGTATTCACACAATTACCAAGTGTTATTGTTAGTCATTTAAAATAATGCTACATTTTGGAGCTAGACTCCACCTAGTAGACTAAGTAGACTTAGATTCAGAGAATCTGTATGCATATGTGAGGGGAAATGTAGGGCCATGGTACAGGTTGTTGCTCAGTTTTCCGTGGAGCAAATGTATGAACTGTCATCTGGAGAAAAAAAGCTCATTGATTAGAGGATTTCCTTGCAACGCACTTTCCACATGAACACTGATCTCCATGCCTTCTATTCCCTTGAAGTTTCTAATAATCTTTGTGATTTGGGGTTTGAGGATAAATGGGGTTGTTTGTCACCTGCTTCTGTATTTTGCTATGTATGTGGCATCTGGGAAATGCTTATGACTTGCTTATGCAAGAACCTCCCTCTCTGAGTGTAGATGGCATATGCGCTCCTATAATGCAGACATGGATGTGAATAAAACATCTTCAAGAAGTACTTTTCAAAAATAGAAGTGATTGAGCCATGTTGCACCTAGTTTTGCTTAAGTAATCAGTTTTGCAGTCCCTTAATTCACTTAACAGCCCTAATTAGGATTTGATTTAGATTATAATCAGGTATAGTTATGATTGTCTGCTAATCTGACACATTAAACTAGAGGTTTTTGATGTGCAATCTATAATAATTTTCTATATAACTGTAATCCTAGAAGTGGTATGAGTAGGATGCTCATATAAGAAAGGCCTAAAATGTTCCAATTTTTAGTAGAAATTAAAAAAAAATAATAAAAAATAAAAAAAGTTCCATCATATAAAATACAGAAGGTACTGAGATATTTTTAAATTTTAGCATTCAATAGCCAATTAGGTAAGCCAACTCATTCAGCTCTTCATGCATTTAATTATCTTAAGGTGCCAAAATTAAATTAAATTATTTTTATATTTACTCAAATTAAGAAAATATTTTTTCTTTTCATGTAGTATAATCTATATTTATTTACCTATTGTGCCTGAGTTGGTGTTGTAATTTCCTTTTTTGTATATTTTTGAGATACTTGAGAGAAAATTTAAAATCTGTGGTCATCCTTAATGTGATGTTAGTGTTAAATTTTTGTTGTTGTTCATTAATTTGTTTTCTTATGTGTTGCTTATGGCTTTTTTTTTTTTCCAAGAATTTAGAATGGAATCTTAAAAAGGAAATTCAAGATGAAAAAGAAGTTTGGAAATTGATTCAGGTAAACATGACAGTAACTGGTTTATTTAAATCTAAATTCTTCTACATTCTTTTTAATTCCAATCACAAATTAGCTTAGAGTAACTTCTAACCAATTCACATAGAAAGCTAATAGGTTTTGCTAAGTAGTAATGTTTGCTGTTTTTTGTTTTCAGCTAGGAAAATTTTAATACTTATGAAAACATGGTATATTTAATTATAACCTACTTATTCACAATAATTTCCAATTTGCTAGGAAAGAAAACAAACAAACAAACAAACAAAAAAACTTCCAGTAATAATATATATATATATATATGCAGCGACACCGTAATTTGAATTTGTAAGTTTTTCTTACTTCAGTTTCTGTAGAAAGTGCAATCAGACTTACTATGCCTTATATTGACACACGCATATATAAAATAGGCTACCTTAACACCATTTTATATTCTTCTGGTGTGAACTGCTGAATTTGCACAAGACATGCTTGTATTACTTTTTTTTGGTAGTCAAATATGGAATCATAGAATGGCTTGAATTAGCCGGGACCTTAAAGATCATTTAGTTCCAACCCCCCTGCCATAGTCTCTCACCAGACCAGGATGGGATGGGGTGTCCACTGCTTCTCTGGGCAGCCTGTGCCAGTGCCTCACCAATCCGATAGTAAAGAATTTATTTTTCTCTGGACTTCAGTAATGCTCTTCAATAATCCTCAGGCAAGTGTTGATACTTCTTCAGCTTTTCTGATTGAAATCCCAATAATGGCATCACCAAAAAGGATATTCCATCTATTTCCATCCTTTGGCAAATTGATTCCTTCAGGTGTCTCCTATGAGAGCACGCATAATGGTCATACTAAATGTGTTGTAGTAACTATAAAGTATTATAGCCTTGAGCAAGACACTGAGTGGAAGCTTCAAGACTATTTTCTGAAGAAATCCTAATTTTCTGCATTTAGTGTCACCAGCAAGAGACAGGAGGACTTAAGGTGGGGTTATCAGAACCAAGCTCTAGCTTCTGTGAGATCTCTGGTAGTCTGAGAAACTTTCCTGAGCTCATTACATAATCCCCTATTATGCAAGAAGATGAAAATCAATGTTTTTTTCAAAGTTGCAATCCAGTAACACAGAGACCTCCATGATACAGACAAAAATTAGCAAAATGCCAACTGGCTGTTGGTAAAGTCCTTGTCATTGTTGCTTCCTGCTGACAAGAGAACAGAAAGCAGTATATAACCAATTACAGTTGGGCATCTTCTATAAGGAGATGGGATACAGCGATAATGATCTTGCCAAACTTGAACCACCCTACACAAACTGAATCAAATCCCTTGCAAGCAGTACAAGAATTGCCTTCTTCTTAGTTAAAATTGGTAGCAGCTAAGGAGCAAAATTAATCAATTTCTTCTTATCCAAGACCACTTTGATACTGGAAAAGATCTCTTATGATGCATATTTAGCACAGCAGTAGGCAAAATATCCAGACAGCCCTTTCATAATTGGTAAATGAATGCCATTGAGATTCACCTCTTCCTTCCTAAGAAGGAGACTTGTAATACTTCTGTGAAAAATATGTCTAGTATTAATATGCACACCCTCACTATTGTGAGATGCAAGATTGTTTGGTTCCATTGATCCTTGCTGCTCATCCTGAAATGAATATTCACATGCTGTGAGTGTTCTGATGTTGGATTCTGATCCATGTATGTAGATACTAATGTAAAGAACATAGCCAGAACTGTTTGGAGGCATTGCAGTCCTTTATTGCAAGTCCTCTTAACTCAGAATCCCTTTCTGCCTTCTTTTGCAGTTGTCTCAGACAGGAGAGATGTAATTTTAGAGGTCTTGAATGCTTTTCTTCTTTAGAAATGAACCTTGAATTTACTGTGATGACTATAACTCCTTCTGAGACTTTTATTCCCATTTAATTTTTTTGAGAGGTCTGATCCTTTTTTATTTGCTTGTGGATATTTACAGTCACCATCTTTCTTCAGTTACAAAGCCTGTTCTTTACCATTTTGTGACTTCAATTTTGCAAGAGCTCAACAGCAGAATCTAGTATCTATATCTCGCACTTCTAGAAAGACAGTCTCTAAGAGAGATTTTGCAGTTCTTCTCCATTCCTGACATTAGCAGGAAGTGCTGAATGCTCCTCTTCTAAGCCATGTGTTGAACAAGGTCTCTGCCATATGTACTTGTCTTTGATGCACAACTTCCTTTTGATTCAGTCTTTGCTTAAGAGAAGGCTGAAGGATCTGACTGATGCATCATGACAGGTTTGATTTGGTGCTTCCAAACATCTTCCTTACTTTTTTTTGAATTAGTGCTGATAATTTTGATTATTTGTTGGAACAAAAAGTCTTCTTCTTCTCTCTCAGTCTTGCAAAGACCACTCAGTGGCAATTCTAGCCCACTTCCCTTCTACAGATGGGAACAGAACACTTCCCTAATGGGAAACAAATTTGCTTCTCAGATCTGCTTTTGTCATTGTAGTCCATATGTTTTCAGAATAAAGAGGTTGATCTTTGTAAGTATCTTATAATTCTTTTAAGGAGATTTTTAAGTTCTATTTTTTTATACTAAAACAATTTTTTCTATTTTTTTTTTTTTTTCCAAAGCTTAATTTTTCTGGGTTAGATGAACTTTATATCCTTCATCCCAAGCACATTTTTCTTACTAATAAAACAAAATTATGATGTGAAAGGCTGTTGAAGAAGCAAAAACTATCATTAACTAGTGACTCTACAAGTGCACAGCAGTTTAGATGAGGGTCTGTTCTAAGATAACTAGAAGGAATCCCCTAATGCCATCTGAGTGTAAAGCACCAGAGCTCCAGAAATGCTAATGGTTTTCTGGAAAGCTTGTCCATACCAATTACCAACCATGTTGTCATCTGGAACTTTATCCATAACTTCATCTAATATTGTGCCATTCTATAGGAATTCAGAAATTTTCCTGCATTTACTACTTGAAATACTCCCAGTAAGGATAAATAGGTAGACTATGATTTAAAACTTCAAAAAGATTAAGTCATATGTATGGTCATTCCCAGACTTCTTTTCAATTATCTTCCTGGCATCTTTCATTCTGGTTCTACAGATGAAAGGAAGTCAAAATAGTACCAGTTTCATTCCACTTGTATGTTATATATTATATATATATATATATATAAAACATATATAATATAACATATTATAAGTTCACTCAGTGCTAGACAGATAAATAATTATTTGAGTTCAAGTGATGGTGAATTGGATGTATTAGAAATTGAAAATGTATGTAATGCCTGCCTGCACTTCCTGAAGAACATGTCTTGTATATAACATTTCTCTTTCTTTATTTATTTCTTTGGCAGGGAGAAGGTTCAGGTGGAATGTAGCCTGGTTGTTGTATTTTGTATTTTCCAACATTGAAGGGCATTTATTTATTTATTTATTTATTTATTTTCCACTCTTTGTTGTCTTCATTCTCTCTCTCTCTCTCTCTTTTTTTTTTTTTTTTTTTTTTTTTTTTTTTTTTTTATTTAAGAACATGCCTATGGTGATAAAATTTCCCCTTGGAAAAGATTTTTACTCTTGGCATTAGCATTTGGAATTTTAATCCATCTTTTATGGAATTCTATTCTACTGTTTGCTTAAGTATTACTGTAAATTCATTGTCTGCTTCAGTGTAATATTTGCATTTCATAATATTCCTTGCTGGTTCGTCTGCTGTGTTTGTTTGACAGTAGTGCTGGTTATTCAGACTATTCATATGCTGACATAAAGGCCAACTTTTCCTTAATTCTGAAGACGTTTCTAATCATCTTATGATATATTTGTTAAATTATTTTTGTATATGGATTTTTTTGGTCTATTTATAGTATTCACTTGATGTTCTTTCAGATTCAGATTTTTCATGTTTAACTTCTGCTTCTGATTTCATACTGAAAGCAAATTCTATATATATTTTAATAAACAGGCCAGGATTAAAACAATATATGATGAGCTAGAGGAAGAGCGAAAAGAGAAACTGAGGAAAAGAGATGAAGATATGAAGATGATAGGAGAGAGGGAGAGAGAAGTAGCTGATCTAGAAACAAAGTACAAAAGAAGTAAAAATTTATTTAAAGAAAACCATGAGGTAAAAGTGGTAAATTCTGGACCATTTGGTAGTGTAATTTAATTTGTGCTATTATTTATTGAATATAAATATATAAATAAGAATAAACTGATGCTTACAGGGACCCATAAAGATCATTTAGGTCCAACTCCTCTGCCGTGGGCAGGGATCCCACCCACCAGACCAGATTGCCCAAAGCCCTGTCCAGTCTGGCCTTAAAAACTTCCAGGGATGGAGCATCCACAGCTTCCCTGGGTGGCCTGTGCCAGTGCCTTGCCACCCTCTGAGTGAAGAATTTACTCCTTATACCTCATCTAAATGTACCTTCTTTTCATTTAAAAATAATACCCCTATCACAACACTCTCTGATTAAAAAAACCCTCCACATCTTGTACTAATACTTGCATATCCTTTTTGTAGTGTGGGCCTCAGAGCTGAAAGCAGCACTCCAGGTGGTGTCTCACAAGAACAGAGTACAGGGTTAGAGTCACCTCCCTCAACCTGCTGGTCATGACTCTTTTGGTGCAGCCCAGAATATGGTTGGCTTTCTGGGCTGCAGCATACATTGCCAGCTCATATTCAGATTTTTGTTCACCAGTACCCCCAACTCCTTCTCTGCAGGATTGTTCTCAGTCCACTCATTGCCCAGCCTGTATTCATGTCTGGTATTGTCCTGACTCAGTTGCAGGACCTTGAACTCGGCCTTGCTGAACTACATTAGATTAGAAACCCACCTCCCATCAAGCCTGTCCTGGTCCCTCTGGGTGGCATCCCTTTCAAAGGGGGCAAAGGAAATAAGTGGTTTTTCTTTGTACCTGAACCTGAAAATGTAATAATCAGTGTAAAATGATTTATTTCTTAAGTATTTGAAAGAGGAGGGCATTACTGTCATAAAAGCAAAAGCAAAATACCTTCATTTTTGTTTCAAAATCAACGCTAAACAAAACTAGCTATTGATGGTCTTTGTCCAGAACAGAAGTTGGAGTTTTCTGTAATCCATATACATCTTCCATATCATTCTCACAATCAAGCAAGGTCAACATCTTTTGAACCTATTTAGTTTAGATACAGGGTTTTTTATTTGGGGTAAAAGCCCAGACAGAAGAGTTTCTGCTGCCTCATCTATAAGAAGCTGTAGCAGCATCACTCTGTAGGTTTATGATTGAGTTATCTGCCTACTGGTAAATAGCTTGCTACTGGAGATCTTCTCCAGTTTTTATTGTTATTCTATTTACAGGGTTCTTGATATAGTCTGCAGGTAGCAATACTTCAATTCTTTTGTAGATGCAATGGAGAATGTTGAATAGTTTTAGTTGAGATAATGAATTATGTGATAGTTTATTTTTGATTCAGGTTTAATAAGTCAAATTGAAAAATAATAATAAAAAAAATAATAAAAAAGATTCCTCTAATAGTTAATAGTATTTTCAAAACAACACATTGATGGCAGTGACTAATATTGTTAGCCCTTCCCCAACTAAACCTGAGTAGAAACAATGTGACAAAGATCACATCATTAGTTTCTTGGAAACCTAGAGAGGTGTGGTATAAGTTATATATCATCGTCTATAGCTATGTATTTGCTTCTGTGTTAAAAGCCCGGAAACAGAATTTGCCCAAGCAGATTTGTATGTGAATGATGTGTGAAAGATACTGGTAATTTCAAGAAGGAACTTTCTTATTGATTAAAGGTTCCAAGTGTTTCAGAATGGAAATACTAGTACTGATTTTAATGTTTATTATTATAGAAGAAATTGAATTTAAAGCTTTTAATAATGTATCTATTATATGATCTATATAAGTATATTTCATAATGTAAAATTGTCCTTATTACATGTATTAATAATAATTTATATCATTTAATATTTGGTGCTCATACTAATGATGCAAATGAAATTAATAAAATAGACAAGAACTTCTGTTTTGTTTGAGGTACTAATTAATAACAGAATGGATTGATGAAAAATATAAAAGTGAGATATCCCAATCATTTATTTTCCTTCTTTTTCCTCTTCCCATTAGCTGTCTTTAGCTGTATTTTTCATGAGCTAGTGATAATAAGTAGTAAACATTTCTTTTGTCCTTTATACAACTTCCATGGAAGCTATTCAAAATATTTGTTTTGGTTACAGAACTTTATATGTAGCTTCCTAACAAAAGGAATGTAAAGACACATGGGAAGAAGAGTAAGCAGTGATATTTTGCTGTATATTTAATATTTATAAACACTGATAAATATTGCAAAGCTGCATTTTAGTTGTGGATTTTTCATTCAAAGTGTACAGTAAATAAACATACAAATAAGCATACTGTTGATGGAAAAATAGGGTTTTAGGGGTAAACAAAAATAAGCTTAAGTATGGTGACTGTTAAAGTATTTAACAACTAATGTATTATCTGAATTCTCTGGAATGAAAGACAATAACTTTTGAATACTAACACATCGCATTGTGAATGTTCTCTCCAGAAGCTTTCCTATTTAGATCGGAGACTACAAGAGCTAGATAAACAACAGGAGCAAACAGAACAACAACTGGAGAAAGAAAGAGCTATTCTGCTGAAACAATTAAAAGATATACAGGTGAATCATAAAGCTTTTATGGCTTTTTTGACATACATTTAATCTCAAAGGTTAGACCGTCATTTCTACACAATTGTTTTGGACCTATATACATACATATAGCGTACATACTGCTTTCAGTTTCTTGCTGTACTAACCTATGAGGTCCATAGCCTTGAGACAGGGTAAAGTACAAAGCAGAATTGATATTGGGGTCATTGAAAAGTCCTTTGCTTTCTTCATTTGCTGCACTGGCTCAGATTGCTTGAGGGGCTTTGGAAACACAATGAAGAAAATCAATAAAGGACGAAAAGGATTCTAGTGTAATAGAAAGTGCCTGCTGATTGCATGTTTGCTCAGCAGATGGCATCTTTTTGTAAATGATGGCTTGTATCTCCTGTATCAGATACTAAGCTGTATAATCCACTGAGGGAATTACTGAAATTCATTACTGAACACTATGCTGTATATAAATATGGATATAAGAATTACAAGAAACAAGCATTTTGTTTCTAAGAGTCTGTTCATTTTTATTACACTTCCATTTGTATATTGTATAAACCTAAGTTAGATATTACAGTCTCAAAGATGAGTCATATAGATTCAAAAAAAAAAAAAAAAAAGCTTTCACATTGTTCAGAATAGAAATGTCATGAATCCAATAATTTCTACTGAAAAAACTCTGAGGCTTCCTATTTATGATAATCTTAAATTAGGGATTGAGGAATTAATTGATTCAATAGGTTTCTAAATTTGGCAGGGAAGACAGAATTTATACATCCATTTCTGTTAAAGACTGTGCTCTAGCTAACTGCAGGTTAACCAACATATCTTAGATTATGTGGAAATGACTCATGAGTCAGCATACCAATATTCATTAATTCTACATTGTTGTTAAGTACAGTTCTTTTCTATACTTTTAAAAATTAATTTTAAAGCTGCCTTTCCTAGTAACTGTAAATAACTGTCTCCATTAGTTGCTTTAGCAATATCTAAGTTAGTGTTCTGCGTAAGTGGAATAAAATAATGCACAAAGCCTATTTTGTGAGATCTCTAGAGTACTGAACGAGTAACACTACTTGGATACCTTAAATACTACATTTTTAGAGCCTGATGAAGTTCCTTGATTGCAGCAATTGAAGTTTCATAAGAGGAGTGCTTTATAAAAGCGTCTGTCACATTTTTAAGAATAAATTACATTTCTAACTATGCTGGGGCACGCTATATTATTCTGTAATGTTACATTGTTTATAAGGAAATTATTTAAAGATATATTCAGAGATTTTAATACTCTCTCAGGAATACGACATTGTCATGTTTAAAGCTTGTTCAGTGCTTGGTTTAAATGATTTTATGGAAGAAATGGCAATGATTCCACAGTATTCATAGTACAGGAGCAACATAGAGCCTCCAACTTCCAACTGATCAAGCAATTCACCCAGTCCTTCATAGTTTATCTATCTTAGGACAAGATAAATCACACACTGGAGGCTACTGCATCTTACCATGGAATTTGAAGTGATTTAGTTTGTTCTGCTGACATTTAAATGTCTAAAAGCTGGATATCATGATAAGAGCATATGAATTCTACCTCATAATACACTGGTAGTCTAGTTCAGCAACTGAGAAGAATGATGAATGGTGTTCAGTTGATAACATCCCAGTGTCAAAAGACTCAGTCAACTTACGCAGGATGCTGGACTGTTATCCACTACAGAAAACCCTAAAGGGTGGATATTCAGTCCATCAATATTTAGATTACAGAATGTAGCATAACTCATTTTTATTTGTTTGTTCTAAAATCTGATTGCAAGTTCTCTGTCTTCTGTAATAAGTAACAGAATGTACTGATACTGAGTCAATGGCTATTATTACCTATGCTTGGAAGGTTTTCCAGTTCTTATTTGCCTTATCTGCTAAAAAATCCTGAAATGGGTACAGGATGTCAAAGTAACAAAACTCGTTTTCACTGGCAGTTTTGTTCTAACACAGACTTTTTTTTTTTTTTTAAATGAAACAGAATAATTAAAACAAAACCAAAACAACTCATCATGACTTCTTTCTTTATATCTGACCCTCATACCTCAATCATTTTGGATTTCATAATTTGATTAAGTTTAAGGCCCAAACAAGTAATCTGCTCTGACATTCTATATATCACAGGCTACCACATTTCTTCACCCCTGATGCTGAGCCTAAAACTAATATGATTTTCCTCAGAGGTTTGAGACTCTCTATGGGCGGTTCAGTTGCACAGGGATTTGCATTAATTACCATATCTTCATTTTCCTTCTAATGATTCTATGTTTCTGCAGAAAACCTGAAATTTCCACCTAATCCTATACAGATGCATATTACACTTCAGAAAGTTCAGAGGCCTTAAAAATTTCGTGTGCATGTGGTACCTCACACACTTCTGTGCTATGTGCCCACATCTGTAACAAAAGCTTTGGTTACTGGCTTTTTTCAGCTACCTTTTAGGTATATTTTTATGAAGCACTTCATTTATAAGGAAAAAGATAATTAGACTATGCACCAGGCTACTGATTCAGAAAAATGGTGTGGCATCTAAAGAAAAAAATTTAAAATACTGACCTTGATTTAAATACTGATGTGCATTCTTTGTCTACTAAGTTGTTATTTCTTAAAATTCTGTATTTATACGTGTGCATATGTAAATTATCTCTATATATGTGTATGTGTCCTTATTCATAATCAAAAGGTATTTTCCTCCCTCTTACTTTAACTCATTTACATAGCGGCTTACATCACATTAGTATGTGTTTCAAAATCTAATGCAGTAAGACCACTTTAGAAATATCACCCAAATAGTAGACTTCCACCTGTTTAATACTATAGTACCACTACAGTGTTTGGTATTTGCCTTTTTCATTCGGAAGAAACTGCAGCTTTGTTTACCAGATACTGTTGCTATTGAAAGTAGTGTTTGCTTCTGTCATGAATCCTTCCTTTTTATTTTTTTATTTTTTTTTCTTTTATTTTTATTTTTTGGTGCCGTAATTATCAGTCACTTTTGGAATGAAAAAAAAATAAAATACAATTTAATATCCTTTCTGCAGAATAGGGAGTTTAGTGATTTTTTAATGTAATGTTTTTCAGCAGCTTAATGTCAGCATCTCTCTAAGAAGTTGTGTGCTTGTAGAAGAGGAAAGTAGGCAGGAGTTCAGCAGTCTTGTCCTCTGTGCTTCAGTCCTCTTCTGTACGGAGTACAGGGAAACTACATTATGAAAAAAAATAAAATGGTATCCAAAAGAACAAAATTCTCTATTTAAGCAACTAAATGAATAATGCCAGTTTTCAGAGATAATGAGTAAACTGCATTCTGCCTCAAGTCAGTAGCATCTAAAAATACAATTTTTCCTGAAAGTTCATTTTTCTAGGTATCTGCCTAAAACACTTGTATTGTGTAAGCAATACAAAGCAATAAAAGTGGCCAGTTAAGACATTGACTCTGGATATGCTGAAATAAATAGGTCCAAACTTGGTCATATATGAAAATTTCTCCTTTTCACTGTCATTAACATTTTTGCTGTGCAAGCTACTGTTTATTTGAAAAAGTTTTATGAATCAGAGCAAAAACTAAAGACAATATGTATTTTATCAAGAAGGTGGCCTACAAACTTCCATTCATACATATACAACATAGGCAACTGCAAAAACAGAAGTGTCATAATAATATTTATGGATTTTTAGATGTGTGACAAATTGGAAGGCTACAACTGGATGTGCAAAATCATGCCCTAACAGACATGTAATTATTCCAGTTGCACTAACTGTTTCAGCTCCCCCTCTAGAAGCAGTTCTGCTTCTTTGAGTATACAATTTCATGAACTGTTGTCCATAATCATATGCTTAAACTGCAGTATTGGGAAGTCTAGCCCTGCTAGTTTACATGCTACATATTTTTTAATTCCAGGAAAAAAATCATTCGTTTCCAGTAAAATTGCTGAAAACTCTCACACTGTGGAAAATTTAAAAAATGAACTTAAAGAACTTGCTGTGTTACGGAACATGAAGCAAATGCAGGTGGAAAACACAGAAAAATCTTTTGTCGATTTACGGTAAGACCTCCCTCTTAAATGAACTTGTACAGGTAGTTTATTACTTTTAATAATTTTACTTATTACAATTAATACAGGTAGTTTTATTATTTTACAGTATTATTTCTAGGAAATATAATTCACTTTTCCTCAATAATTTGAAAGTTTTTGTGGGATTACTGCTTCAAGGTATTTGTAGAATTTATTCATGATACATTATCTGCCTACCAAATTGAATTTTGTGTATCAGAATTACTTCTGGAAATCTAATAATATTCATGGTCAGTTGCATCCTTAATTAATGGAGAATTCCTTGCATCCTGTGTTTTCTCTAGTCTAAGAATTATGGACCTATGCTTATTGTGACTGATGAGTACTGAAAATAGTCTCAGAGGTCTCCATCCAACTGATAATGCAGACTACCTTCTAGGCCACTCAAGCCTTGGAGGGCCATGTATGTTAATTGCATAGCAGGCTTACTCTTTAAGGAGAAAGGTGAACCTGCTAGGCAATGTCAAAGAGAAAATAGCTTGGGCTGTTGAGTTGTGCAAGATTGCTAAATAATAAAAAAGCCATCCTGGTGTCATGATAATACAGCTCCTTCTCTGTCATCTCACTCACTTAATGTATTGTCAGTGTTGAAAGAACTTTGAGAGATTATTGCATTAAATTCTTGGCTGGGGAAAAAAAAAGGTGTTTTTATAAGTACATTTTTATAGCTGTATATGTGGGACTGGATATGTTCTTTTGCAACTCTTGATTCAAACAGAATGATTTGGAGGCACTCAGTGTGCAGTGGAACTTACTAAACTTACTTCAAGAATTGAAGGCATCCTTCCACAATTGGAGATCTCTTCATATTTTCCTCATCTCTTCCGCCACTAGTTAGTAGTTTCATATCAATGAAATGCTGTATTTAGACTCACAGAAAAAAAGTGATAAAGTCAATAAAAGTGATAATGAGAGGTTATTCCAAAGGTTATTGCAAAATTTGGACTAACCTGCTAAACAAGGGAAAATTGTGTTGCAGGTATCCCACCTAGAAAGTGCTTTATACCAATGGCTTTGGAAAAAATTGTTTATGTACTCTTGGAAGAGATAAATATATGTCCTCATATATGAAGTTAAGAATGAACATGAAATACATTCACACATTTTATTTTTTTAAATCTCAGCGAAGTGTGGTGCTAATTTAAGGATGATGGACAAATCCTGTGAACTTGAGATCTGTGTTAGAAGCATGCTTAATTGGAACCCCTACCATTGATATGCATCAGTTCACATACCATGTGAACCCAGTGAGAAGGAAATAAGGGTGGGAAGCAAGTTAAGGGGATGTGCTGGAGATTAGGAAGAGTGGAAGGGTGTTTCAGTGAAAAGAAACTCCAGGTAGTTTCTGCTGGATCACTTACTCAGCCCCTCTTTAAAGAGATTTTTATAGGCACTGATTTAGAAGAGGCTTTAGATGCTCTAATTTTCTGCAAAGAGGGTTGTTTTGCTGCAAAAAGTCTCAGAAGAGACTGTGAGGAGGATATTGTGACCTCCAGAATTTAGAACTAAATCTAAAACCCTTAAATACCTTTTATGTAATAAGTTTTATGTAATAGATTTTTTTTTTCCAGACTGTTAGATTTGTTTTAAAATTAGAAAATATTTTATTTTGGTATTAAAATAATTCTAAAGTAACACAACAAAGCCTGAATATTGGAAAAATTAGGCTTAAACTTGTCTATTGAGATTTTTCTTCTGTATGCACATGTGCACATTGTGATACAGTCTTTATTATGCAGCCAAGAGTTAAAAAGGCTCTAGTTTAGGTTATGTTGCAGAAAAATAATTAAATATACTTTTTGTTTGTTAGTTTTCTTTTAAATACTCTCCTTTCTAAAAGCATCAGAAGAACAAATCCAGGGAGAACAGAAATTTAGTAATTACTGGAAACCTGTGAAAAATGCTTAATTTTACTTATTTAATTCCTACAGATTAAAGAAACAATACTAGATAAGGACAGAAACATAAAAGAAATATACAGATGGTATGAAGCTCCCATTTCCAGTCCTAACAAGTCATAAATAGTGGTTACCCAATATGTCACTGATCATGAGCTCATTCTGGATCTCAGAATATCATTTTTCCAGAAGATATGGGAGTGAACCAGTCCATTCTTCAGAAAGTTATTTTTAAAAATGCAAGCTGTTCTTGAAAATTGTGAGACTTATGTATCGCAATAAACTCATTGGATAAGGAGACCTACTGTTAAGTAGAGTGTCTTTAAGTGGTATTTGCAGTCATGATAAGCTCCATCTTGCAGCTGTTTTTTTTTTTTTTTTTTTTTCTCTGTTTTTTGTTTGTGAGCTTGTTTTTTTTTCTTTTACAGGGTAACATTATTTGTGAGAAGACCACCTATTTTATCTATTATAAAATTAAACATTAAGCATATAAATAAAGACTAAAATAGTGTAGCATAATCTTGATCACTTCACTGAATTTATTTTTTTTCTTTCAAAGGAAAAATTTAAGTGATGTGATGTATAAACAGCAAAATGTGCAGATATTATTTAATCATCTACAAGATGAGCTAGCAGAATATGAAAAAAGGTTCAAGCGTGAAGAAAAAACATATGAACAGTTGCTACAGACTAGAAAGAAAGATCTGAAGGATTCTGAAGTGAGTATTATCAGAGCTGGCTTTCTTTATGTGAGAACTGAAGCAACTATTTGGTTAGTTTTGGCTCTTTTTATATGTAAAAAGATACCAGTTTAATCAAAAGTTTGAAAATATTTCCAGTGAAATGAATTACTATTTTTCCATAGTAGACTTTTGTATTTCTGTGAATAAATAAATTATTTTAGGAGAATTATATAAAATGGTTCATTTACTTACATTTAATTTTTCATTAATGTTTAGGATTATTGTATGCTTTCTCTCCCCTATTTTTTCCCTTTGATTTGTAGTTACCTCTGTGAAGGAAAAGGATAAAAAAAAAGTCATTGCTTCTGCTGACTTGAAAATCCTTTCCTTTTCACCAAATGTTCAATAACAAATAAAATCTCAGATAACTTTGACTAAGATCACCATCAGTAAGTTCCCATTCCTTTTTAATCACTTCCTTGTAAGAATATTGCTCAGTGCACGCAATTATCTTGATAGTGTAGCAATCCAACTTTGGTCTTTTGGATAAAGCTGTTTCTGAACTGTCAGGAGTTACTACATAATAGGGCTCTTATCTAGATCTTAAATGCTGCAGTTGGTACTAGGAAGATGGGAGCCACACCTTATGTAGATATTAATGAGGAATCAGAGCCATTTGAAACAAAAATATAAAATACAGAGGAGTAAAAACTATCTGTGAAATCAGATGCAATACAGTTCTTCACATTGTTTTCTGCATTGGTTTCATATTTACTCTTTTCCTAAGAAAATGGAAAAATGCCTAGTTCTTTGTATGTAGTTTTCTTCATTTTTACATGAAAATAGAAATAAAAAGCTTTGTTTTCACTGAAGACATTCCAAGGTTAATATTTTTGCAATTGTAGCTTTTTGAAAAATAATTTAAATATTCACTTTTCATCTTGTATTCTTTACTTTTATGCCCACTTTGTACTTTTCTCAGTTGATTTAGAATAGATTAGGTAAATTAAGCTGCTCGATTACATTCTCTTTACTATTAACTTTTACTTCCTATGTCTAGTGTACTAACAGAGCTATGGTGCAATGCTGAAATTACAAAACCTCTGGGGAACTGAGAATATATTTTAGAAAATTATGTAAACATATCTACATTCTTGACTCTGAGTTATTGTCAATGGTGCTAGATGATGCAAAGTGTTCTACAGTGATACCAAATCTAAGTTCTTTCATGCTAGTAGTGAGAACTTTTAGACTGATTTTTATTTTGTCTTAGCACTGCATCACATAATATTGTGTTGCAAATGTATTTTGCTTTATCTCTCAAAATCTGTACTCAGGGTTTGAAAGAAAGGGAAATAGTAATGAGAACTTATATTTTTTTATTTTTGTATTTTTTAATAGAGATTGCTACTTTATTACTTTTCAGTGTGATATTGGCCCTGTCAGAATAACATAACTGTCTCCTGTCTTGTGCTAAATTAATTCTAAGGTCAAAATTACCTGCTGGTATGTCAACTTGCTTATCTTCACCCTGTAAGGTTTTTTGGAGAGGTAGATTTTTATCTCCTTCGCTACAACACCAATATTTGTTTTTCCTAATGTTTTCTGTTTCATCCTGTCTTCTCTTTACTCCCACTTTCCCTTGACACTGAGTTGTGGGTATTATATGAAGAGCACTTAACAGTATTTCTTTATTAAAGTAATGTTTGGGTAATGAGATTATGCCAAGATTTTTGGTGGTTAAATGTAAGTAGTAATATTTTGATGCATGCTTGAAAGCCTGTTTTCGTTTTTACTGGAATGCATTGCTGGTCTCTGTGATGACATCTCTCCATTTAGGCATGTAGCCGAAATGGAGGCACACGCTGCTTACCCTTTGACAATTTACTCTGTTATTACCTCATCATTTTAATGTCATTCTTCATTATTTTTATATGAAATGCAGATAACAAGCATTTGTTCACAACTTCTATAAAACCCCAACCCCACTAATCACTCTTAAAAATGTTGTAGAAGTAGTAAGAACGGGGAAAAGTATGAATTCCTATATACAGAGTGGAGAGAGAGAGGATGAGAGAAGAGTAAGAGCGCTAGGAGGAGAGAAGTAATGGAGAGAGCAGGAGAGAACAAGAGAGAGGAGAGAGGCAAGAAGAGAGATAAGAGAGAGAAGGAGAGGGAGGAGAGGAAGGACGAAGGAGGAAGGTGGAGGAATGAGAAGGAGGAGACAGAGGAAGTAAGAAGAGACGAAGGAATGAAAGGAGGATGAAGAGAGGAAGGAGAGGAAGAGAGGAAGAGAAGAAAGAAGAAAATAAGAGAAGTGAGATAGGAGTAGGAGGAGAGACTGAGAAGAGAGATAGTATGAGAGAAGAAAGGGAGATAAGGGTAGAGAATATAGATAGGTTATAGATATATGATGAGATTATAAAATATTGGTTAAAAGATTATAATAATATTATATATATATACAACCTTAGTACTATTAGATTACTATACATAGTTATACATACATACTATATAGTTATACTATACATACGTATACATATATTACATTAGAAATCTCTTTCTCTCTCTCGCTCCTAACATTTAGTTCATTTACTCTCACTTTCTTAGTAGTCATGAAACTAAACTGGAAGCAATAACACCAGCAAAGCCTTCAGTACCTTATGGACAATCAAAAAATTTCAGCAGGGACTTCAGTGTTTATTACCCAATAGAAATGAGCAGAAGGCCTAGTACCAGTGAGTGGAGAAGTGTGATAGGACATTGGAACTAGCATTTATAGGTAATTCAGTAAAAATCCAAGTAAATTCTGGCAGCTTCTTCAAGGAGGCTATACATGATCTGTAAAATTTGGACCATTTCTTTAGAAGGATGGCTAATGTGGCTACCTTGAAATTTTCACTTGGACAGCTTTCAGAATTTTTTGCTGACGGTAAAAATCAAATAATCTAAGCTGCTAGATAAAGTCTATTACCTAGCCTATTGTAAAGACATATTTTCTTATTTAGTGGGTTGAGTGAAAAAACATTTCAATTCTGTTTTTTGGATAAAACTATTTCTATATAAGTTCCAACTTCAGATAATGTAGTACAATGATTATGAGGCTTTCTTAGCTAGAGTCTGGAGATGTAAACTGGTTTGCTGAAGTAGTAAGGAGCATATGTTCTAGTTCAGTTATCACAGTCTTTGTGTCTCTAGGTCTGAATATAGGTGAGGCCATTCAATCCCCTGCTTGTAGATAATGTAGTTAGACAAGACAGTGCCTATTTCTAAGGTCAGATATGGGTAGCTGAAAAAGCAGCCCTCATAAGATTAGCCCACATGAGGAGAATACAAACAAACTACACCAAAAAAGCAATACCCCAATTTCTGGAATACAGTATATAGAAGGCAGGTTCGAGAGTTTCTGATGTAGGGCATCTAGAAACACTAGTCAGATATAGTACCGAATGAGAATCACCTGTCCTGATAGGTCAAAAAAATATAATACTTTGCTCCAAGTGTCATGAAGTGCAAAAACTGAAAGGAGATGTTTTCTAAATAGGCTATGGATATACATGGTAACATCATATGTTTTCAAAGGCAAGGTGAAAACAAAATCCCAAGCAACTCAACATGAACTGTGTCATTTAATCTGGGAGAATCTCTGTTAGTTGTTTTGTCTGATTCAGGAAAAGAAAACAATCTTTTGACTCGGAAAATTGAATGGATTGGTAGTTCCTTCAATTTAGGGAGAAATACAGATGTTTGTGTCAATACAAAATGTTAGAGGTACACAGCTGACCATACCATTTCAAGCTTAGAATTATCAATCATCTTCATTATCTTGCTTATAAGATGGACAGGTATGAGCCCTCACACCTTATGCAGACAAGAATGATGCAGTAAGGAATGGAAAGACTAGGAAGACTGAAAAATCCAGTCTGAGATCTATGCAAAGGTCCAATTCAGTGTCCTTTTTGTGCTGACTTTTAGATTTTGTGAAGGTAAATAAAAGCCAGTAAGCGAGAACAAGAGGAAAGAAAAACTTCTTGCCAAGAAGGGTTTCAATGGCTTGAAAAAAAAAAAGGTATAGACATCTTTCTTTGAGCAAGAGGCCTCTTTCCTCTGGAGACTAGATGGTACTGTTATATCAATCAAAAACAAGCTCTTACGAAGAGACAAACTGGACAAAAACTAGGTGAGAAATTTGATGAGAAATCTAGTGACCCCTGTTGCCATCACTGTGAAGGAAAATGGAGTTGAAGAATGGTTTTGCTAAGGGAGAAGCTGCATAAGAATAGTGGCCCTAGCACAGATCCTGACAGAGAAAGAAATTTTTTTGAGGAGATTCCTGTGGAGCACTGAGGGATGGAAGTAGTCTTTTCATGACCAGGATTAAATAGGACGAAAAGCTGAAGAATCTGTGTGCCTGGTTCTTGTAGGAATACACATTGTGTGGTTTGGCTGGAGAGCTGAGTCACTGCTTTTGCAGACCTCCTTGACTTTGTCTTATCACAGGAAAGAGTGCTGCCAAAAGATAGGACTGTGACACATGAATGTAACAAATGTCACAGCTAAATGCAAGGTGTGACTTTTGTTTTACTGATGTGCATGCTACTAAATGTGGTGAAATTTACATGTATAATGATGAAGTCATACCTTACAGGCATATTTTATCACTTTGCTATTTGTAACTACTCTCATAGCGTCTCATTACCTTATGTTCTACAGAGAGAGTACGGTCCCCAAACTATCACATTGCCATTTGGCTTCAGTGCTGATATGCGTGGTATTAAATGCACAGATAAGAATTCTTTGACATAACAATTCATAATGAATATTGGATCACGTTCAGAATGATTATGTTGTGCCTTGTTTTCTTAACCTGAAAACAAGCCTGCTTGTTCTTATTTTCTGCCGCTAATGTGATTATTGTACTTGCAGTTAAAGTAACTGTAAAAATGATTACTGTGGTTTTTGAAGATTGAGCAAGACATTTTGAATGACCAAAACTCATTTGAAATGTGAAAATTTGACCTAATTAGTATTTGCTA